GTATATTAGTTCATTCCGTAGAAACTTTTGAGATAAAATAGCAAATACTCACGCGACATTTGAATCAAACGAAGAACAGAATAGCAACTGTTAATTTTATAAACTTCATTAAGGGTGAGGCCAAACGAGCGTAATTTTGTGAGTGGTGAGTCGCAGAATTTCGGTCGCAGAAATTCTGCTGCATTCGGTTTCATACAAAAAGGCAGTTGGTGCCACACGACAACGCAAAATGAGTTGTCTGCCGACTCAATGCGCATAAGCTCGTCCGAATTTCGGTCGGGGTGAGGGTAGGGCAAGGAAGGGGAGAGGGGAAGCAACAGTTTGTTACAAGTTGCGTGGTGTAATAATTCTTGAAAAACACGTAATGGCATATGATAGTACTTTTCAAACATATCTGGATTTGCACATAAACGTTCATATAAAGTATGGAACTGTCCACATATCAGCCTCTGACTATTCAGTGGGTTTACCCAGTTTCTTTTTCTGGCCTCATCTTCTGAATATGCTTCGTAAATACACAATATTTTTAATGCATCCATTGCACTCGACGACACGAACACCCCGTACTAACGCTCAATAGTAACTGAATAAATTACGTTCGTATGGCAGCTCAACAGAAATTCAGTTGAACGTAAAATAAGTGACCGAAAATAAGCGACTCACAACTCACAAAATTACGCTCGTTTGGCTTCACCCTAAAACTTCAATAGTTGAACATAAAAAAAACTCAAGGTACAAAAATAAATAAAAAAATCTATCATTTGTACATGCAAAGTAGTGACAAAAGAAGAAAACAGTAGTATGTTTACAAAAGACAATTTATTGGTTTCATAGAATTTGATGGTTACGTGTTATCGTCACCTATACAACATAATCCAGCTTTGCAGTCACTTTTTTATTCAATAAATAATGTTCATGAATACTATGCAAATGTATTTAACTTCGTCTTGTAATTGCAATTGAACCGAAATTGATCACCACACATTAAGTCCAGATACCTCAGAATTGTCTTGACAATTGCTTACATTTGTCAAAATTGCGAAAATAATGCTGATGTGTTCACAACCTCTGTTGCTTGTTGTGAATTTCCTTATCAAGCTTCGATCAGTTCCAAAGGCTTGACATTTGAGAACAAAGTCTTGTACAGTCAACAGTATTTTATTGGTAATTTGGTATACAATAATGTGCCATAATAGGATCTTTTGTGAAATATGTTCCTAGTGATGAGCAAATCATATTTCAAATATTCCTCCTAAGCGAAATGCATTTTTACACTGTGTTTATTTGCATATTAACTTAAATTTATGATATTTAAAGTACTTTTTTTATGGACAAACTTCCATACCCAAATATCATTCAAACCTCGGCCTGGAATGATTTGTACAATGTCATTTGAACATGTTACGAGCTATGTGGTAATCATATCTACAACAAACCACTTGCAAGACTTTGAATATGTGATATAAGTTTTAGCAACATTTTTAAATATTTGTCCATATGCAGTTTCTCTATCCTATACAAGTCAATAAATAAAAATATCGATATTTAATTCCAGGCAGCTATGACAATCATCTATTCTATAAAAATAGTATACATTTCATCTATAAAGATTATTACTGACAGTTCACAATATTTTTTTATGATTAAGCAAACATTTGTAAAGTATCCAATATACAAATGTTTGGTTTTCCATAAAAAAATATATATACAATACATATATGTATATACTTTCCGACACATCTATCGGCCGAACTAGCATTTTCGTTTGATCTATATTATTTTGACGGTCCCTAGCTAAAATAAATAACATTTGGCAAAAAGTTTTCCGCAGTTTTGAAGCTGATTTACTAACCATACATTTTCGTGTTTTTCAAATTTATTATTATTGCTCAAGCTAACATAATTATTTTTTGCTATAGACTGTTGAAACTTATAACACTAAGTGGGCCAATAGATGTGCTTGAAAGTGTATATATAAATGTATATGTATATATACATATAAGAAATATGATCACATTTTCAGAACAGTATTTGGAATTAGGGCTTCTGTACATATTACAGAACATAAAGATATTTTACATTTTCATCAAGACTGCCCCTTACTCAAGAGTTCTTAAAGGTTAATTATTCCTATGTTTCTATAACTGTCTGTTCAGATTGGACAAAAAAATAATGAATGAAAATATTTCCACATTCTTCTTCATCTATTATATCTTCAAAATTATTGCATTACTAAAACGCCAGGAACATATTACAATGATCTTTCTTATAATATCCCCAGTCTGTATAAGAACTTCTAAAAAAATCTAATAAGTTGTGCGAGTTTCATACAGAAACCTTTAAATATTTCCATAAAGTAAATAGTACCTACTTTAGTCATATTACAAATCCCACAAAGGCTCAAAAATTACATTTTATTTGGATACTCGCAACTCAAAACTCTATTGAAAATAGCAAAAATTTAGTAAGCAGTTTTAATTAAAGTGCACTTAACATAAAAACTAATAATATTGCACCAATCAGACTGTGGTAATAGGGTAGTAGCCCAAGTTATTTTGCATTTAAACAATGTTCAAAATACCTTTCTATAAAAACATAGTAGGCTAGTTGACTCCTATCAAAACTCAAATATCATTTATTTAAATAAAGAAATATATCCCACACTCACACTAATTAAGCCTAGCCCCAAAATAAGCACGTAAGGCTTTTGTTATTGGATGCTAGGGTAACGGATAGAATACATACACTGATACATTTATAAGTATATTTTATCCAGAAATATATATAAACATCCATGACTAAGGTACAAATGCTGGTATTCATCATACTGACATTTGCCCCCACGTCATGAAACCCGGCGTATATACCACTCGGCCACGGAGGGCGTCAAACAGTATTTGACACAATCCAATCTAAAATATTCCCATTTCATTATTATATATTTATCCATTTGAAGTACCTATATCAAAACGATTGATGTGTGTAAAAATATAGGTAAATGAGAGACAGTAGATAATTGTTCTTTAGCCAATAAAGATAATTAATGAAAATGAACTGAAATATGTTACTGAAAAGTACTATCATAAAGAATATGAGCAATAGGCTATTTGACAGTATGTAAAAATAATGCACCAATTGTTGGTATCTGTATTTAATATGAATATGAGCAGCGATTTTAGTATTCTTAAAGAACAAATAATTAATAACTTTTCTATAAAAACATTAAATAGATATGTTTTATTTGCTCCATGGTTACGTGACCAAAAACGCCTGGGATTGGCTTAGACTAAAATGACGGCACACGCTAGTAAACTTCCAGACAAAGTGACATTACATTGTATTGTTTGACGTTTTAATGACAGTCATTTGACGTCACATACTAGTGAAACGCCATTATGTACAGAGAAAAGTTTTCGCCGCAACTTGAAAACCGAATTATTAATTTAGTTTTTCTTCATGGATTACACAACAGAATTAAAAATATCAACTTTTTATGGACTCCCATAAACATTAGTAAATGACATGAGATCGTTTTCAAAAACTTGTCAAATACCGTATTTCAAACCTATTTGAAAAGTGTCAACCAGCCTATTAAATTTGTTGTAATAAAACAGAATTTAGTATTTTAAATACAACTTTACCAATTAGTAGGAGAAGGGTGATGAAAGCAGCTTGCTATCTCCCTCTCACTTGTGTGCCATACAGCGTTGCCAGATATTTTTTTGCCAAGTTGGGATTTAGGAAATTTTTGAGTAAAAAAAGCGGGATTCTTTCATCGAAAGCGGGACGTGGTAAAAAACGTATAATCAAAAGTTATTGTTTATCTATTTTCATTACGGGCCGGGCAGGTAGCCAGTCCACACTCGTCTGTGCCATCCGCCCGCGCTTTTTTAGTACGCTGCACGCACGTTCGAGTTATTCTCGAAAAGCGAAATTGAGCCTGTCCCGCGCTGGACATTAAATTTTCATCTAAAGAAAAGTTTACTACAAAAAAATCCACGCGGACCAGGCTGCCTGGTCTTTTTTTCTAGTAAACTTTTCTTTAGTTAAATGCTTAAAAAAAAAAAAATCATAATTAAATTTTCATTTAAAATCGGGACGTCTGGCAACGCTGGTGCCATATATTTTGTTTTTAAATGTTTCTTTAACGCCACTTTAAGTAGATTTATAACTCATGGGTCACCGTTTAACTCTCCAATACAAGTTCTACTACCCTATTATTTGTAGCATTCAAGAAAAGTCAGGTATTTCTAAGTGACTTCAGAGATCGTGTTTTCAGGATGTATTTTATTTCAATACCAATTTTTTGTATACTCAACAATTTCCAGGTATTTTTAATGTACCAATCGCTTACATTTAAAGATTGTTTTAACCTAAAACTAGAGGAGATTTGCAGAAATCTTAAACTTTGAATACTGCGCAGGCTGAGTTAGATTACTTATTACATAACATGCCAATTAAATTAGCTAACCTGAAGTTAGCTATGAGATAAGGCAGAGGTCAAAGTATAAGTACAGCAAGTGGCCGAGTTCTGATACAAAAACTTTAATGGCCTGTATTGTACTTAAGATATATTTTCTGAGTGACTTAGCCCATAAGTAACGACACAGTTATCATTGCAGTATACATTCTGTGCCCATAAATCCAGTCACAAATAAATATGAATAATAATCAATCAACGGCTTTCATAACTTTAATATACAATTTACAGTCAAAGTTGGTCGAACACTTTAAGGTGATATTTGCTTGAGTTTCGCATTGATAAATGTATGGAGTTTCCCCTCCAATATCGCGTGTGAAGTCAAGCGATTATCACCCATGAGTGGTCACTTTTTTTGAACTGCTTATAAGCCAGATACAACACTTACAAATTCGTCAACATCACATGTTCGGTCAAAGGTTTGTGTTCACAGACACTGGACACTGGTTATCACTATTAGTGCTTTCACTTTCTTCACTATTTTAATTTAATCTATAGTGATCACATCGGGGGCCAACAATCATTTGTTGGGAGAAGTCAGTCCTAGGGCTGCAGATAGCAAACGCACAACATTCTTCTGTTCTTGGCCATCATTCTCTGTAAAATTAATAGTATTGTTAAAAATTAAGTTTTCCTACTACTTTTATTAATGATTACTAGATTAACAGATTCATTTCAGCTAAATACAATGGTTTTAATGTGTTATTTTTCTGAACCATCGGCTTCGGTGACGTTTTCTCTCCAGGTTCAATTGCTCCTGCGCCACCTGGTAGATGCCCCCTCGATGGTGCCGCTCAGCACCCAGTAATGCCCCCTCATACGTCACGATACATTATGCTGACCCTAGGCGCCGGTGACGTGTTTCTCCAGGTTGAGTTTCTCCTGCGCCACCTGGTAGATGACCTCCTCTATGGAGCCACTCATCACCCGGTAATGCCCCCTCATACGTCACGTTACATTATACTGACCATCGGCGCCGTTGACGTGTTTCTCCAGGTTGAGTTTCTCTTGCGCCGCCTGGTAAATGACCCTAAGCACCCGGTAAATACCCCACATACTATGCGATTCAAATAAGAATGGGAAAGCCAATGACCTCCATCTGTCACATGTCGCTTGAAAAGTACGGTTTGCAAAATATCTTAGAACACATTTTTAGCATTGAGCTAATCTTAGAATAAAAATCAAACTTTTGTAAACAAAAGAAATAAATAAATCATGTGCACGTATAGAAAATGAGTACTGAAAAAGAGAAATATAAGAACTTTAGTTTTATCTATACTTATAATAAATCTGTAGAGAGGTCAATTCTGTACATGAAATATATTTTCAAAATAACTATCAGGGGGTGATTAGTGATCGATATTGATGCTAAAAAATGCAATCAGTAAAATTTTTGTCTGTCTGTCTGTCTGTGTGTATGTTCCTTATAGAAACAAAAACTACTCGACGGATTTTAACGAAACTTGGTACAATTATTCTTCATACTCCTGGGCAGGTTATAGTATACTTTACATCACGCTACAGTCAATAGGAGCAGAGTAGTGAAGGGAAATGTTGGGAAAACGGGAGAAGTTACTCCATTTTTTTAGCTTCCGTTGCGTGTGCAGCCTTAATGGTTAAAGTTACATAGAAATCATGTATGACGGAAATATTCTACATAAAATTGTCTAAAAAATATCCCGCAATAGCATATGTCTATCTTTTATGGTTGACTCACAATAACACGTGTAACTCCTGATAGCTTAGCAGTTCGGAGCATTCTGATTATATTTGTTTACTCATACTATTATAATACTCTCACTCATCCCTAATTTAAAAAAGTTAACATTATTACCTATTCAATAAAAAAGAATCATAGAAATCGGTATAGAAACAACAAACTTATACATGAAATAAGCGCCGGCATCGCGCCGTCGCACGTGAATACTGAATCCTGCTATAAGGATTACTTTTGTGTAACGGTTGCCGCGCTCGACACGGGTCGCGGCGGCGGTAGGTATAAGAAGAATGTCATTGTGTATACAGGCCTGAGAACAATAACTATAGTCTACACTTCAGCTCTACACCGAAGCGAACCGAGGGCGGGCCACTAGTTATAAATAAAGGTACTAAAATACCGTTTTTATTTTAAATAAAGTTGTCGTTTTAAAATCTACAATAATCGTCATTTTATTTTATAGCCGAAAGCAACAGTGATGATGATGACATTACATGATATAGTGCAGAGATGACCAATATTAAAGAGCTAGATTCCGATTAATGTTTTTTCTCACTCTGCCTTAATAAATAAATATTATTAAAAACCATGTTTTTATTTCTCTCAATATTAGTAAAAAAAAGTTACTTAAAAATCTGTAACTTTTTTATCACTTAAACTTGATAAAAAAGTTTTATTAATGAAAACTTTCTTGCTCACTCTACCTAACCGGGTTGAATTGACAGCTATGACGTCATAATATGGCGCCCAGTCGGTCCTATTCTTAGTTGAATCGCATTGTACGTCACGATACATTATACTGACCATCGGCGCCGGTGACGTGTTTCTCCAGGTTAAGTTTCTCCTGCGCCACCTGGTAGATGCCCTCCTCTATGGTGCCGGCGCTTAGCAACCGGTAGATGGTCACCTCGCGCTTCTGGCCCATCCGATGGCACCTGACATACAACACAGTGTATTTTAAAAACTATGGTGACAACAACTAACTAACATAACAAACATAATTCAGAATCGACGGTCATTCCCTTATGTGTAAGTGTCCGTTTACACAGACCAGCGCAGAGAGGATCGGAGAGCATTTTTTTTCTCACACCAACTTATACATTAGAGGTTGCGTTCCAAGCCCCACGGATGCGCTCGGATCCGAGCGGATGCTTTACACCACCTCTAGTTTCGACCATTTAAGGCTGCTTTTCCACCAGAGATGTGCTATGCTACGTTCCTGTGGATGCGTTTGATATCCACCAATCAAATTCATTGGTTCATATAGCAAAGCACTGGTGGAAACGGGTTCAACTAAGCTATTTTTATATGGATGGATGCGTGCTATGATGGAAGCGCGAGTGGTGTAGCTATATCAAGAGAGAAGAGTGCCCGCGTGTGTCACTGAAAGTAGACATGCTATCGTGGAAGCAAAAAGTTATTTTGTATCGATACGTCGCATAACTCGAGCTGCGCATCTTCCTCGCGCATCTGCTTTCCGGCGGCGCATCTTCATAGCACATCTTACTCGCCCCACTACATAGCTTAGCAGCAGTGGAAACTGTCACGTTGTTTCGTAGCTTAGCTGACACATCCTAGCAGCATGGCTGCATAGCACATCTCTGGTGGAAAGGCAGCCTCATGTTTGTTTTCAATGTTTTCTATTAATATATGGCTTAATTGACTTAAACATGGGGAGTACGCAATCGGAGCCGGTCGGCTACCCGAGCGCAGACGAGTGCGTTATTGTCGGCTACTCTTATTATTTCACACTTAGCGCGTTAAGTTTGCTCCCGAGCTTTCTCAATAACAAAATAATTAAAAATAGACCTTATTACAATACAATGAATTCCTATTTGAAAGTGATAAAAATCTGCTCAAACGGTTTGAAGAGGACCGTTATGTTTGAACGAATATTAATAGATATTGGTGGAATAGGGATGATGCCGTCACCATTCACTAAATAGCTCGCTAGCTTGTAAACTCGCCCGTGTCATCGAGGCTTTCCTTCTTGGGTCGCATTCCTCATTACTGAGGGTCGTGACCTCCCTTCTGCATCACTCTCTTCAGTATGATGGTCTTCCATCTGTTTCTGTCTTTGGCTGTGTGGAGTTCATTGTGGACTGTCGAGTCTAGAGCGGTACGAATCTGGTCAGACCAACGCATTGGGCTGCGTCCACGCGGGCTTTTTCCCTCTACTCTGCCGGTCACAATCAGCTTCTCGAGGTTGTCACTGTCCTTCCTTGCAATGTGGCCGAAGTACTCAAGGACTCTGCGCAAACACTCGGATGATAGGCGTGAGGAGATTTTAACCTCACGCAATATGGAGGCTTTAGGTGTCGTTATTTATTCTGAAATAAAAGCTGAATTTATATTCTTTCCCTTGGGTCATATTCACCTGTCCTCCGCCTGCTTGTCGTTGTACGGATTGAAGTCGATGTCGTGTATGATGACGGTGTCGGCCGCAGTCAGGTTGATGCCCAGTCCGCCCGCTCGCGTCGATAGGAGGAACACGAATATGTCCTCCGCGTTATATTGGTCTATTAGCTCTTGTCTGGAATATAACATTACATTGTTAGTAAAGAAGGTAAAATTATAAAGCAAGCGAAAATTTGTTATACTAGTCTAAGATCCGAACCTACATCGACCTCCACAGAGCTGATAATGGAGTGAAATATATTTTATTACGAATTTTGTATATGAGAAAAAGGTTGCCTAAAAAAATCCTGGTCAGACTATTTATAATTAAATGTTGCGACATCTAGGTAATAAGAAACTTTTGCCCTAACTTACAGTATAAAACATGCAGCTGTTGGGTTGTCTATTATTTATCTGGACGAACTACTGGGTCGCCAAGTATAAACCAGGTATGTTGATGCCAGTTGCGTTAACCATCGAAATCAAAAGAATAAAGCCGGGTTTCCAACGCGTGCCCTTATTCAAGCGTTACTTAGGACAGCATATCGTCACATGTACGGCAAACTTACGAATCTGCTTTTTCAGTAAAAATCTATGATAACAAACTGCACATAATGGGGCACTTAACACCAGGGAAAAGTCACACAATTTTGTCAATGACGGTTCCAAAGGTCTGATTGTTTGAATCTGCATTTTATGTTTATGCACCCAAAGTAAACTTACCAAATTAATATACGATATTTTGGCGTAGAAGGTTTTATGAAATTCAAAGTCGTAAGTTTACTATGGAGGTGACGATATATGGAAATAGTAACAATGTGCATAGCCGCAACAGTTCTTCATATTCGACCTTCATGGCCACCACTAATTTTAAAATGTTCGTTTTATCTCCCTTATAGTAGGCTCGCCGTGGGTTCAGCAATGATGGCATTATATTTAATCTGCCGCGCTCGAGTCAATCCAAAATCCCCGCTTGGGCTCCCCTGAGGGGCTCGATGGTGCAAGTGGTTAGCGCGTTCGGCTGCGATCGCTGAAGTTAAGCTACTTTCGCAGTGGTCGGTCATTGGATGGGTGACCAAGAATTTACAATCTCGAGTAATATATCATGTGTATTTTCGTGGTCCGAGGATAGTGTACATTAAATAATATTCATGTATTATTCTTAGTCTTTAATTTTCTATTTCTTTGTAAGTACTATAAAATACACATGATATAGGGGCCGGGGGGAGGGTTCAGCCTTAAATTTCACCATGTATCACCAGGGGGGGGGGGGGGGTAAATAACGGTTTTTAATTACCACATCTAATATATAGATAAGTTAGTAGAGAAAGTATTTAGGATTGATTTAAGACATAAATGAAGCCTGGATGTACAGTAGGACTCGAATAATAAGAGGAAAATCTGCACAGACCAGGGGTTAATGGCACGAGTCATACACACCTGGCATGATTCTCTAAACTTTTTCATTCTGTATTGGGAATGACAAGGATACACTCTCGTCGTTGGAGAGTCATGCTAGAATTGACACCAATGTATGTGTAGAATTATTGAATATTAATTTATAAATTATATTGTGCAATTGCATAATAATGTATATTATATAGATAATAACCCTCTAATTGCTGTGCCCTTGCAGGGCGTCACATGGTTACTGTATTTTTATGTACCTGCTTATTTTTGTGAATGTGATATGCAATGAATAAATACAAAAATACCTAGTTATAATTTTTATTTTTAAAGCATGTAACTGCTTGATGTTTAAATCTAAACGAAATATAACTAGAAAAAAAATCACGCGGACCAGGCAGCAGACGGGAACCCGCACCCTTCGCTATCCAGGCGAATGCACTGACTAATTATGCTACCGCAGCCCCGTTGGCCGCGTCGAAATTCTACTAGCCATTCTTAAGCTGCAAGGCAACGCCATCTCTTCGCATAAATAAAATAAATACCTGTCGGTGACGGCGGTGCTGCCGTCGAGCCGCAGGTAGCGGTGCTGGCGCGCGGCTAAGTAAGGCTCCAATATGTCGAGCATCATAGTGAACTGGCTGAATACGAGCACGCGGTGACCTTCAGATTTCAACTTCGGCAGCATGCTGTCCAGCTTTTGGAACTTGCCAGAGTCCAGGATCAGATGAGTGGGCAGCGAGAAGGACCGTATGGACTGGGGACAAAGTAGAAATTTGCATTTTATAATCATAACTAGCGGCCGCCCGCGACTTCGTACGCGCGGAGTTAGTTAGATATAAAGGTTCACTGCTCGTTCCCCGTAGGTGATAGCGTGATAATATGTAGCCTATATAATGACCCGACTTCTTAATAATATTCGTGCCAAATTTGAAGTAAATCCATGCAGTACTTTTTGAGTTTATCCCGGACATACAGACAAACAGACAAAAATTCTAAAAACTATATTTTTGGCTTTGGTATCGATTGTAGATCACACCCTAAGTATTCTTTTCAAAAAATATTCAATGTACAGTTTTGACTTTCCTACCATTTTATTATTATGTATTATTTCTCATTTGTTCAGTTTAGGCTGCTACAAGACAAGCACTCGTGAATTTCTAGGAGCTACGCAATCGGTTCGTAAATCTACGGCAGGAGACCTTGTACTGAGAAGAACCGGCAAGAAACTTAGAAAGGGCTGTTTTTTTCTCCCTGTAATATTAATTACAGAGTCGTTAAGTTGGAAAATACTTCAGAGATTTATTTTGAACTAATCTTTCATTACATAATGTGAAATATACTTTAATTTTAAGCTGCATTTTGATTGCTGTGTCATACAGTTTTGTACATACTTGTATGTTAGATTACATAGAGCAATACAGCCAAGATGGCTAGGAGGGGAATATCCATAATTACATAATACTACTGAAATCGTTCTGCCACTTTTTGCGCGGGGAGGAATACACACACAAATGCATTCCAACATACTTTCGCAAAAACGAAATTGTAATTACGACACTCACACATAAAAAATGACAACGCAAATTCGGGCATAGATGAAACTTAAGATTTTTTATTGGCAAATCTGAAATTTGTAGATATTAACTGATGAATCTGGAATGCCTATATTGTTTTAGGCTACGCGATCATACAATGTACCTTTAGGGCAGTTTTCGATCACTATTTAGTTCGTGGTGAAAAACCTACTTTTTACGAACTTCACAAAGGAAAAGGATTGCAATTCGTAAATTTTTGATTTATTCCGATTTTAAAAAGTTTAATGTTATTAATTCGTCGTTTGTTTGGTTTTTTAACCGATTCCAAAAAGGAGACTCTTTATTCGTATTTTTTTTTTCTAAAAATCGTCAGTTTTTTTAAAGACTGTTATTAAACTCGTACGGAGGAGCTCGATGGCGCGGGTGTTTAGTGCGTTCGGCTGCGATCGTAGAAGTTAAGCAACTTACGCAGTGGTCGGTCATTGGATGGGTGATCAAAAATCTTCTATCTCGAATTCTTCCGTGGAAGGCACGTTAAGCCGTTGGTCCCGGCTGCATCTGCAGTCGTTAGCACCCGCCAATTCTAATCTCCCTATTCCATCTATATAGGAAAGTAGGGAAGGCCTGTGCCCCAGCAGTGGGGACATTAATACGCTGATGATGATAATGATGATGAATAGTACTCACGTCATACTGCAAGGTTAGCTGATGTATCTGGAAGTCGGAGAGGCACATGAGGTCCTCGTAGGCGTACTGCTCGTTTTTCTCCTTGTATTGGGGATGGGCGGCTAGACGTGCCGCGATCTGCCGCACCTGCTGCGGCACGTAGTGGCACCGCAGCAGGAGGGGGTGGTTGGCCAGCTTCCTCATGTCCATCATCATGGACATGCCGCTTTGTTCTGTTGTCGCGTGTATCTGGTAAGAAGGAATATCTGTGGTGTAATTTATGTTAGCTTAAAACTGGCGAAGAAAATTACAGTTTACAGTTTACTGGTTTTTTACAGCTCCTGTAAAATTAAATTTTACAGGAGCTGTAAAAAACTGAATGACATACCTAGGTTTATCAATGTTTGTGATGGTTACTTTCTTTATATGTTATTATTTTAGCTGTTTATAATAGGCTATTTGACAGTATGAAAAATAATGCACCAATTGTTGGCATCTGTATTTAAAATGAATAATAGCAGCGATATTAGCTATTCTAAAAGAACAAATAATTAATAACTTTTTTAAAAACTCATTAAATAGAAATGTTTTTTGCTCCATGGTCATGTGACCGAAAACGCCTGTGAGTGGCCAATACTAAATTGACGTCATACGCTAGTATACTTCCGGCCAAAGTGACATTACATTGTATCGTTTTACGTTTTAATGACAGTTGTGTAACGTCACACACTAGTGAGGCGCCATATTGTACAGAGAAACGTTTTCGCGGCAACTTGAAAATAGAATTTTTAATTTAGTTTATTTTACAGAATTACACAACAGAATTAAAAATATCCACTTTTTATGGACTCTATAAACATTTGTAAATAACGTGGGATCGTTTTCTAAAACTTGTCAAATACCCTATTATATGTTTGTGTTTTTATTCGTCAATAAAATGGTTCTCTTTCTCTCTCTCTCATACCTCCAGTGAGGTTTTGGCATGGTTTTTAATTTATAAATTTAGTAATAATATTAAACACTGTTTTAGGCGGTTTTGTTTAAAAATTATTTGAGATTCGAATTCAACGGGCCCGAAACCTCCGGACTGTAAAAAAAGTAGTTTGACCAGATGCGTAATTATACCGTTTTGTTCGCCAGCTCCTCAACTTATATAAAATTTCGGAAGAGCATAAGTGGTTTAATCATGTTTGTGTGTAATGAGTACATGTTTTATTCGGGTTTGCCATAACTATCATTGGATGTGGACAGCTCAGAACCTGTGCTTAGCAGAGGGCATTGTATAGCTGAATGATGATATCCATAAAATCCTGTATATGAAATGAAAAGGCGGGGCACTGCTGTCAAATTTAGATAAGGCAAATTGGAATAGCCATGTGTGGTCTCAGCATAAGTCGCCATCGCTACTATAAAAATGCAAAGAAATTTCAATAAGTTGGCGTATTGCATTGAATTACGAGCGATTGTAGTGGTCTTTCCCCAAATTTCAATTACAAAGATTTTATTTCCCCAAGTTGATATTTTTCTCCATGATGGGGGGAAGGCCCAATTTGGAAACTGAGATGTCCCTTGTATAGCATGCGTCTATAGAGGCTATAACAGCCGCAATCAAATGTGCCATGTCTCCAAACCGTTTAATTTATTAACCAATTTATCATCACACTAAAATATAAAGACTAAATTAAGGACTACTGAGGAGGTCGATGGCGCAAGTGAAGCTAGAAGCGAATTTAAGCAACTTTCGCAGTGGTCTCTCATTGGATGGGTGACCAAAAATCTACTACCTCGAGTTCCTCCGTGCTTCGGAAGGCACGTTAAGCTGTTGGTCCCGGCTGCATCTGCAGTCGTTAACACCCGCCAATCCGCACCGGGCCCGAGTAGTGGGTAATGTCCCAACCTCCCTATTCCATCCATAGGGAAGGCCTGTGCTCCAGCAGTGGGGACACTAATAGGCTGACGATGATGATAATGAAGGACTACTTACCGTGCCATCATTAGCTGAGAATCCCGCTATAAGTTCCTTGTACAACGCTTGCTGTCTCTCAGACATGGGACACAGTTCTGTGTGGTTCGTCTTCTTGGGCAAGTCTTGTAGTACGTCCCTCTTCAGTCTTCTTAGAACGAACGGTTTCATAATCCTCTTGGCCTGAGATATTTGACTTTGTTCGAACGCTGGAACATCGTCCTCTTTGGTGATTGTTCCATCCGCTTTCTTGGTGGTTTTTACTTTCTAAAGAAGTAAGGTTGAAACTTTTATAAGATAAAGTTACTAAAAGGTATTATTGTCAATGAAATTGAGCCTCAAAAGAAAATATTGACGTATGAAAACAAGTAGTCACAATCGCGCTCATAAAATGTCGGAACAAAATTACGCACACGCGTCGATTGTGCGTAATTTGCAAACGGTCATGTTAACCATATCTATACAACATTAGATACTATAATCAATGATATTAAATACCCTAGATACACCACGAGCGCTCAAAATGTGTCCCAATGAAGAAGTGCTTGAACTCCACTCAAGCATTTCTTGGTTCAATCGAAAATAATACTTAAGAGTACGAACAGTGTCGGTTTTTCGACTGATATCTAATCAATGTTTGTTAATTTAACGCATTTGAAGCAATTTTTGTTCTTATACTTACTATAAACTGATTTAATAGAAAATATTTGTGATATTCAAATGCATGTTCGGTTATACGTCGCCGTATAGACGTCTCCTTTCCTCCCGGTCCGTACCTGCTATATTGCTAACAGCGCATTCAGAATTGCGCGTAGATTCTAAGAAAAAAAGTCTATATTCTTCAGCATATAGCAATAAGTCGTAAAATTTTTCTAGCTTGCATTTCGAACTGTCAGAAGTCTTTGACGCATGCGTTTTAATAGTAAGTATTAAATATGACTTTCAATGTTTAAATATGACCTATATTGTTTTTGACTACGCGATCATCTTACGGAGCTCCGAGGATCGTCCAATGTACCTTTTAGACAGGTTTCTGGCACGATTTTGTTCGTGTTGGTGTATCTAGGGTATTTCATATCGTTGACTATAATATCGAACAAAAAACTGTACATAAATCACGTATTTTGTATGAGAGCTCTTCGAATATTCTGTGAATATTTCAAGGGTGTACCTGTTGCCGTTATGAATATAGAGCGAAAAACACGTTTGTTCTATGGAAGCCCCCTTTAAATATTTATTTTATTCTAGTTTTAGTATTTGTTGTTATAGCGACAACAGAAATACACCATTTTGTGAAATCTTCAACTGTGTAGCTATCACGTACAGCCGTGGTAACAGACAGGATAGTGGAGTCTTAGTAATATTTTCCCGTTTTTTACTTTTAGGTACGAAACCCTAAAGATATATTTAGCTTAAGATTACGATGTTGATAGTTACCGCATTCTTCTGGAACAAGCTCTTGAGGTCGTCCGTCTTTCCGGAGAACATGTGCGGCATCACGAAGCACAATAGCGACATCAGTTCTATCAAATTGTTCTGTAGCGGAGTGCCAGTCAGCAATAGTCGATGTTTCGACTGTATCATAAAAAAATAATTGATAAAATAAGCTTTATTCAGACTAACTTGTTACATTTATTTAACACCAGCTGTGAACCGCGGTGTTATCCGCGGTTTATTAGGGATACTTTCCCACAGTAAAACTTAGCCTAGTGTTAATCCAGGGTGTCAGCTAACTCCATACCAAATTTTATTAAAATCGCTCCAGCCGTTTAGACGTGAAGAAGTAACAAACATACACACTCACAAACTTTCGCCTTTATAATGTTAGTGTGATTATAAATCTGATTGCCGTTTGGCAAAGGCCCCCCCTGAGTTCCTAAAGCTGTCTCCTTCCTAAATCCATAGCCTTCCTACTAAATACCGCTTCTGCAGCTATTTTTAATTAAATTTCGACTGTATTACAACAACAATAATACCTTTTTGATTAACTAGAGGTGCGCTGCGGTTTCATCCGAATTAATTTGAGGAAAAATATTAATATAGACACATGCTGTCGCTGACTTTATTATGAAACTTTTAAAGAGGAACAATTCCATGTATGAGGTTTTTGTGTAACTTTCACCGTTTACGCAGCGCACGCAACGAAGCTCACAAATGGAATATTTTTTCTCAATTTTCGTTGGTGCTATGATTTTATTAGTCTTAGAGTTATGTTATACAGCCTTTCTCGATACATGCATATAACTTTTTTTTAAAATTGGACCGCGTCCAAACAAACAAATTAGTATAGATTCGAATGGAAACATAAATCAATGGGTGTATTGATTTTGTTTTTCGTCCGAGCTCTTCCATGGTTTTAAAGACACAGCGTGTCATTAATTCCAATTCTTTATGGGAAGTCTAATGCCGGTATTATCGAAAGATTCTCAGTAATGAATAAAGATAGCAAATGTAAAATAAACTGTAAATTGTTCTGTGTTACAAGATAATATTTACCTTAATTTTGAGCAAGTTGTCGTACCGTTGGGTGGACATATTCTTGAGCATGTGCGCCTCGTCGTACACTACGTAGTGCATCGGTGTGATTCTGAACATTTTGCGTTCCTCCGGACAACTGCTGACCATTGTGTATCTAGAAGAAATGAAATTTTTGGTCTTTTTACACTGACCTGAACTGTAGTTTAATATAAGTAGCGGACTAGCAATGCTTAGCGATTTGCCACTCGAATTTTGATCATCCAACGAACTTAGGGGAGACTATAAAAAAGTGCCGGGTTCACTAAAACGTGAAAATCATCTATAATCGTTCAAAGAACACATCTATCACCATCAGAAAGAGAAAAATATTAATAAAAAATATCTATAAAACAAGCTGGCGACCTGTTATTATAATTTCCAAACAATATTTTAGACACAGCCGATGTCAAATGTGGCGTTACTGAGGTGTGACTTTGTTTATTTTAAGCTGTACTTTTGTGTGATTGAAGATTCACAGTAACAAAATCTAGACAACCTTTTACAACTACTAAACAGTACCCTTAGCACGAACCATTATCGAATTCGAATAGTTTGCGAGTGCGGAATGTCATTGTCAAATTTTGTATGGAAACTTGAACAGTAGCGCCACAAAGGACGTAACCAGAACTAAAAATGTCTAAAAATTTTACAATCTCATTTCGGACTCGCAAACGATTCGAATTCGATATTGTTTCGTGCTAGGGGTACAGATGCCAAACGTGTCGGATGAGGTGTCAATATGAGGTTTTATCCATATGTTCCACCTAAGCTGCACTTCGTGTGATATGTTCATACAATAAATTATGCTTCATTATTAGATTAACCTCACTATGTAAATTATCACTCACGAGTAACGGATCAATATCGAGGACTCGCAAAAAACAAAGCACATGGTAGTAATTCCGTTAATAACATAAATTACTATAGTGAGCTCGATGGCGCAAGTGGTTAGCGCGTTCAGCTGCGATCGTTGAAGTTAAGCAACTATTGCAGTGGTCGGCCATTGGATGCGTGACCAAAAATTTACTAACTTGAGCTCCTCTGCGCTTCAGAAGGCACGTTAAGTCGTTGGTCCCGGCTGCATCTGCAGTCGTTGGCACCTACCAATACGCGTGGTGGGTAACGGCCCAATCTTACTATTCCATTAATAGGGAAGGCCTGTGCCCCAGCAGTTGGGACATTAATAGGTTTATGATGATGACCTCCGTGTTCGAGTGGTTTGTACGCCGGGTTTCATAGTGTCGCCGACTCGAGAGGTCCCGGGTTCGAATCCCGGTGGGGGCAGATGTATGTGTGATGAATACGAGCATTCGTACTCCAGTCATGGAGGTTTAATATGTTTTTCTTTATAAATATACTTATTTAAGTTCTGTATATGTATTCCATCCGTTATCCTAGTATCCAAGCCTTACAGTGCTTACTTTGGGGCTAGGCTAATTGGTGTGTGTTGGAATAAAATAAATATATATCTAATATATAAAATTCTCGTGTCACGGTGTGCGTAATTGAAGCACTCCGAAACAGTTCCGCCGATTTTCGTGAAATTATATTCAGTAAGTCTGAGAATAGAACACATACATTTTTCATCCCCCTAAATGTTAAGGGCCACCCTTAATATTTTTTTTTCTGACATATTTTTTTGTTTCTATTTTTTTATGGCGGTACGGTTTTCGCTGGGACAGTTAGTATATATAATGTAAGCAAGCGCCCATGGAAGTTTAAAACTAAACTCACGTGGTAAGAACTACGTCGTATTTGTCCAATCCGCGCGCGTACTCAATACGCAGCTGACGGCGTTCCTCAGGGTGGCCGTAATACTTGCTTACCCGAAGGGACGGACACCAGCGGGCTAATTCTCCGCTCCAATTATCTGATTGAACACCAGAGAATACGGTCAATTAATGAATGCAGCAAGTATTCCTTATGTTTCCACCTTCACCAACCAGTTAATAAACACCTCAGAACAAGATCCGGCTCGAAGGACCAAACTGTAGGATTGACCCCCTACATAGTGATATAAGGATGTAGGAAGAAAACAACCGATCTTGTTGAATGTGTTAGATAATAAACATCGAGACGGCTGTATAATTATTGAACACTTAATAATGGTTGATTCAGTGATGTTCTTGCTGCTTCAATACTCATACTTGATTTTTGTAATGTAGGTTTTATATAAAATACTATGAAAATCTATTGCTAGCACTAAGTTACATAATTTCGTCAGCGAAATCTTCGTACACGTGTTCTGAACGGCCCGATAACGTTAGTTGTTTGTTGCCGCCTTTAAAAGGCCGAGCTCCCGCCTTTGCGGGGCGATTCTGTATCGAGCCATCGGACCGAGCGGAGCTCTGAGTTAAGAAATCATTTTCATATTGTTGTTTATAACTTTTATCGGAATAATATTTGTTTAATATTTTAAGTCATAATATAATAATATGCTTTTGCCATTTACAATAGAAATTACTTCTGTAATCTTAAAAATTAAAATAAGAGGTTAGTTACTTACGAGTAAAGATTTTATACTTCGTTTTGGTATATTAATTTTAATAATCAATAAATAGTGTATTTTTAAACATTTAATAATTTTGAAAGTAGTTATTTCCCTTATATTATAAAGAAATCTGAATCTATTGAACAGTTTTATTTCCATTCAATTTGCTTTTATTGCTTTATATAAGTTTCAAAGTGTTTATTTTTTTAAATTATTTAAATATTTATTTAAGTTAATAATAATTAATGTCCATGCTAACAAATGCATGATGAGCATTGATTTATTATGTAAAATATGTGTTTTTATATTTTAATACGTTATGTTATGATGCATTTCATTTTTCATACAGCTACGTGATTAAAGTAGGTTACGCTTGCTCTGCAGATATACAAGATTACTGTACGTGACTCGTACAGTAACAGAAAGAGTTTAAACTCTTTAAAAGGATTTTTCCTGCAGTAAAACGTAGCCATGTTTTAATCCAGGGTTTCAGCTAACTCCATAACATTTTTTTTAAAAATCGCTTTAGCTGTTTAGACATGAAGAAGTAACATACATATACACTCATAAACTTTCGACTTTATAATATTAGTGTGATGAACAGCGTGGGAGTCATATTGGCTACCTTTGTTGCTTTCTATGCCTTGGGAATACCTTTACGATATTATATAAAAGCGATCTAATGTCAAATGCTATCCTGAAAAGGACTTTAAGCGTCAAAAGTACTGTAAAAGAGTATTAAAAACACATTTATACCCGTTCTAAACTTGTTTCATTATGATAATAATTTTAAGTGTTGTGAACAAAAAGTTAAGAAACACACCTTATAAAACTAATAGTATCCATATTTTTAAGCATTTAACTGCTAGATTTTAAATAGCATAGTGGTCAGTGCATTCACCTGGATAGCGAAGGGTGCGGGTTCGAGTCCCGTCGCTGCCTGGTCCGCGTGGAATTTTTTCTAGTATTTTTTTTAATTTAAACAAATAGCAGTTGAATGATTAAAAAATAAAAAAATATAACTATTTTTGCTATTCCTTCTTCCAAATGTTTAATACTTGTAAAGGTATTCATTTGACATTTTGGGTTACCTATAATGCGAAGAGATGGCGCTGCCTTGCAGCTTAAGAAGGGCTAGAGAAAATTTGACACGGCCGTCAGGGCCGCGGTAGCATAATAAGGTAGTGCATTCGCCCGAATAGCGAAGGCTGCGGGTTCGAGTACCGTCTGCTGCCTGGTCCGCGTGGATATTTATTTAGTAAAATTTTATTTAATAGTATCTACGAAAATAACTCGTTTATCTGTTTTTAGTTGCCAGATTGAATTAATATCCTTTCCCATCAATATTTATAGTAGCAGGTAACGAAAAAAAATTTTTGTTACGCAATTTAAAAAAGACAATAACTTACCTAGTGTCGAAGCAGGTACAACCACGAGATGTGTTCCTCTCGCTTGGCCAGTCTCCTTCAAGTGCGCGAGGAAAGCTATCACTTGCACCGTCTTCCCTAGGCCCATCTCATCGGCCAAGATGCCAGACACGCCTTGTTTGTGGAGAACTGCCAACCAATTCAACCCCACTAACTGGTACGGTGCTAGTTTCAAACTGCAGCAAATAGAAATATTAAGAAATACAGTTTCAATAAGAAATTATAAATTTAATATAAAATTAAAACAATACTGTACTCATTGCCGTATAAAAACAAGTAAAACTCCCAGTCGTCTAACAAAAGTGCATAAAACAACGTCGGAGCAGCGTTCTACGTCAACTTAACACGTTATGTGGTGGTAATAAGGGTCAATGTCAATTGGGCGTAATTTTACTTCCGACACTTTTTGAGCGCGCTTTTTTATTGCGAGTGCATTGTGTTTATACGTCAATGGTGTCGATTCTCTAAACCTAAAACTAAATTAATATTATATAGATAATATTACCGTGACAACGTGTATCCTTGTCATTCTTTATACAGACTGAAAATGTGAGACTGATCTTTAATTTAGTTTTATGTTTAGTGAATCATGATATAATATAATCGACACAAATGGCTGTACTCTAAATCTGTAGAATTGATACCGCCGCGGAACGGAATGAATGAAAATTTGCATAGCATATTATATAGACCTTAATCCAATTGTATAAACATAATTGGATAAAGGTCCTACTACATACAAACTGAATACAAGCCAAAAAAGGGGAATTCTCGAGAATGCGCGAAGATTCCGTGGAAGACACCCGACTTTTTTTTAAATAAAAGGCAGGATCGCTAACATCTCACTAATTATTCTCACCAGGGATACAAACACAGGCTTATCATTGTATCATCATGCCATCAGCCTATCTATTAATGACCCCACAGCTGAGGCACAGGTCTTTCCTATGAATGGAATAGGGAGATTCGCCAAAACATGACCCAATATGCAGACCCAGTGTGGATTGGTAAGTCCTAACAACTGCAGATGCATCCGGGACCAACAGCTTTACGTGCTTTCCGAATCATGGAGGAGCCGAAGATATCAAATTTTTACCATGACATCCATCCAATGACGCAGCTTTCTATACAAAAAGTTTATTTATTTATATATTAAATGTTCTTACCTAGAATCTAAAATACTGGGCTGCTTGAGGCGTCCGGCGCCCGCGGCGACCGCCGCCTCCAGTTGCTGCGCGAGACCAACGCATTTCTTCATCAACCGCTGAATATTGTTACGAGTCGTCAACAACTCTTGTGTTGAATTCAGCAAGTCCGTGTTGAGCATTTTGCTATTGTTGAATTTTTCTACCTGTTAGAGAGATCATCTTTTGTATTAAATAGTAACTTAAAACTGATTTATTGATTTAATTATAATTTTTTCGGGTTCTGTTCCCAAAGGCGATTTTAGTGAAATATTTATTGGAAATAACTGTAAAAACATATAAAAAAAATATTTGAAAAAATTGACAATTAACATTGTTATTTCAATTATCATTTTTATTATGTTTATGCCCCCCTAGCATCAGCACTATGATATGATATATAACGCGTTTTTATCACGCTCTATTGTCAAATTACTATGGAGTTTACAGTTGACAGTTAGACACGATAAAAAACGTGTTAAAATGTAAATTGTGGTGCTCATGCTACGGGGCATGATCTCCATAACCATTTAAGAAATGTAAAATATTTTTGAACTGTTATTGGTGTAAGTATGTGAAACCATAGATGAATGATTGGTCTCGCTTTACTTGAGCGCTTTTAGCGAGACCAATCATTTATCTATGTGTGAAACTATATAAAAAACCAGTAGATAGATATTTTGTGGTGAGTGATTCTGACTGCATTCTTAGAAGTAATAGGTTAGGATCACAAAGAATCACTCTTCATCAATAGAATAGGTTTAAAGAAACACATACCATATCTAACCAGCCTTTGAAAGGCCTCTGTGCTATGATGGCCTCTGCTTTCTTCTGTGAGCAACCGCTAAGCTGGGAAAGCTCATTTATATTGCTTGTGTTTAGGAACTCAAACACCTTCCTTTTGTCTCCAATCAAATCATCTGTTATCTCGTTATCAGAATCATCACTAAAAAAAAACAAAATAACATAGTTGATACTGCTGTTGTGTATTGAAAACTCTATTCTTTCAATGCATTAATAATGTGTAATATAATCAGCATAGAAAAAGCTGGCCAAGCGCAAGTTGGACTCCCATACAAAGTTTAATCATGATTTAAATTTAATTTAACAGGTACATTCCACGATGAAGACAATTATATTTATTTTTGTAATGAAAGAGACAGTAAGAATACATATTCTGTGAATATTTCAAATAAGTATCTCTTTAGTTCTGACTGTTTATAGATTCTGAGATGATCTCTGATATTACAGGGTTTATACAGCACACATTTCTGGTGTTAAAAATGAAAGTTCCCAATGTAATATAATTTTAGACTAAACTACTAGTTTTTCAACTATGGCTCTCAGTTTCTTTATTATTGGCATGATACAGATAGAGAGCGGCACGCTAGACAGCAGGTTAAAAAATCAGTGCCCACTTTCTTAAGCGCTTATTCCTAATTAGCATCCTTAATCGAAAGAAATGTGGCTTCTGACTGACTAAATCATTTAGTATCCTAATTAGAACGCGATTTAGGAAGGTGTAATATTTAGATGCTTCAGTCGCACCGCAGGTGTCACTGCGTGAGGACGTGTTGTGTCCACGATTACGAATTACGCGAGTGTGCGATGTCGGCGGTAAAAGAAAAAGAATTTATGAGTAACATAATCGAATTGTATAAACATATGCCGTATCTTTGGAACAAAAATAATATTAATATTCTTTCACCCACGTTTTTCGTTTTTTACGTTATTTTATTTTTTTGAGCCAACGGCCAGGCCTATGAGAAGACAGGTTTTTTGTTGCTTTGACAGGACTGGAGCCATTACTAAAAAGTTCGACTGAATTCGCCACGCACTTGTAACTGACTCAATCAGTAACTAAATTAGTCAAGTGTAAACAGAAGCTTCTAATTAGGCTTCTTTTAAGGATCGTAAGTAGGACGTCTGAATTTAGTCAGGTGGAATAAGCGCTTTAGGATAGTTGACCCGCAGTGAAGCTGCTAACTACTATTAAAAGATTTTAGACTTATAATAGTGGTTTATAAACTCGTAACTTAAAGTCTCACCTGTCATAAACCCTATCGTCTTTCCCCTTTTTAACTCCATAATCCCCATCTTCACTACCACTGCTGCCTCTTCTCACCCTTACCACCACCCTCGAGGACATAGGTTTCCTAGCTACAATACCACCATTGCCACTACTAGATCCATGAGGTCCACTCGACACTCGTATCACATTCACAGTACCATTGGGGCGCGAATTAAGTCCAGATGCCCCTGGGCGTCCAGCGCCGAAGAAAGTTGTACCAGGTAGATTACGATCATCACTTTCAGGGTCATGTTTGAGTAATTCATCCCTAGAACGTTCTTCATTCCAACCATGTTTAACCAAAGTGTTTTTTACAAACTGCAATAAGACAGCATAATCATAAGTATGTGCCTTTGCCTTATAGTCCAGTCAAAATAGACATTTGACTTAGCCGAAATTCACATCAAGCTGAAAATTGGTAGAGACGTTAAATACACCATTATAAATAAAATGTCAAAAATCCCCATCAATCCTACTTCTGAAAAAAAAAAACCCTAGGATGAACATACAAAATTTGGGGTTTTTTCCATTTTTCTGAAAAACGGTAAGTTTATCGTGATTCTATACAAAAATCGTCAAGACACTTTCTTTCGTATGACTCACCATTTCTGAGATATTGCGATTTTAACAGTTGGAAAATTCATATTCTACATAGAATAGATTATTGCCTAATTCTACTTTAATATTTTCATCTGCTGTATTTCAATCAATATTGGAGTTAGTCTGACCCTGACAATTGGTAAATACTGGCAAACAAAATAATCACAAATCTTACTACAACCCCTCTTGCAGTTACAAAAATTTGTACTAAGATTTTTTTCTGGAGCAGGCAGTAGGGTTTGAATTGACTCCAAACAAATACTGTTAATTACCAACCCTATTCTTCTGGGTCAAGCTCCTTGCCTAGCCACACAAGTGTTTAAGAGATAAGCAGATGTTGGAGGCAGACAAGAATATGAATTTTCCAACTGTTAACCTAAACCTGTGAGATCTCCTGAATACTTTAGCCATACGAAAAAAAGTGTCAAGACAATTTTTGTAGAGACTTGTATGATCTACAACTTATGTTTAACCTATTTTCACAATAAAACTTATCTTTTTTGAGAAAAATGGAAACAACCTTAATTTTGGGTAAAAAATTTTGGAAGTAGGATTGTAGCGGATTTTTGACATTTTAGTACCCATTCTTAGCTCCATGCTAATTTTAGCTAAATTACAATTCATTTATGTCTATTTTGACTGGACTAATGTGACTTAATCCGTAAGATCAGCAGACCTGACAGAAAAGGGAAAACTACTTCTGTAACAATTTATGTGTGTAAAACTTTCTAGTTGGAAAGTAACTACTTTGAAAGTACTGTATTTGCTAGTGGTAAACTGTATTTATCAACATTACAAAATTATTTTGGAGCATACAAAATACAATACTACCATTGGTGATATATCAGGAAACATTTCCAACATATTTCTAAAGCGTCTTTCTTTGACAGCTGTGGTGAGTTCGACAACAGGTTTCTTTGCTGGGGAGGCTGCATCATCAGAGTCAGAATCCTGTATCCTGATGCGTTTGTATACAACTGGAACATTTCTATTGGCAAGATTTGGTGCAGCCATTCGTATGAGTGGTTCTAAAATAGAAGAGAAAAACCATTACTTTCATAAATATCATTTTAATTGCCATGAGTTGGCTACAAAGTTGCCAAATTGCAGTAAATTAACAGTTTTTTTTTTGCCTGCCTTGGGTAGTACAAAATCCTACCACATTGAATACCATAAAGTAACACTACCATTGGTGGTATGTGGTGATAAGATAAGGCCTTCATGGTGAAAGTATTGCAGCCACTTTTTTTCTTATGAAACATCTCCTATCCTTGAAACTAGCCTTCACTTCTCAGTTAAACATTGTTTAACATTGTTTAGAAAAAATTAAATCTCATAAAAGTTTTCTTCTTTTTTTAAGGAAAAATGGTGGTCTCTTCTGTGGACTCCGCCAGACTTGAGTGATTTGGCTTGGTTGTGTGGTAATGACTCTGTCAGACACTAATGTAGGTTGCCCACCTACTTATTTGAACTAGTTAATAAAGTTAAGCTACTAAGATAAGTAGTGTACACCCTGGTAAACTTCCTGAGCATCCACCATAGAGAAGGAAGCCCACGCAGAAGCAATACTACATACAAAAACATCTATCGCACAAGTTGACTTGACTGTGGTTTTGCTCAAGACGTTTGTCGCTCACTATATCTATCTTTAAGTTCAGAAAAAATACTCCCATGTTGTTGGCATACTCCACAACCACAACTACCAAGTACGAATGAAATAAAACAAATTTATGTTACTATGTTTATCACATTAATATTATAAAGGCGAAAGTGTGTGAGTGTGTATGTTTGTTACTTCTTCTCTTTCTAAACGGCTGGAGTGATTTTAAGAAATTTTGGTATGGAGTTAGCTGACACCCTGGATTAACACATAGGCTATGTTTTACTGTGAGAAAATATCCCTAATAAACTGTGGGTAACACCGCAGGATACAGCTAGTATTCTATATAGTCAATAATTTATTAATGTGGCATAACTGATGTCTGACCTGACATGGACAGTGAACCTTTATATTATTTATACTGATTTTCATGGTATTGCTGTATCTTTGATGCTCAGAAAACATTGAATTATATAGATGAAAGTATGTTTCGGCAGTAACTAAGACCAAGCTAATTTGTGTCTAATTGGATACTACAATTGAGAATGCAAACACTAGCAATACAACACAATTCATTTAATGGCTAGAATTCGTAAGACTTCTACATATTCAAAGAAAGTCATCAACTAAGGCTAATAACAGTGGCAAGAATACCTAATAAATAAAATACATAGGAAACACTAAACTCATACAATTACCGTCATCAATCAAAACATTAAACAAGAATATACAATTATTATAAATCAATTCAGCCACTTCATGCAAAAATGAGTAATTAACAATCAGTAAATTTGGAGTTTAAAATAACTGGCAAATAAAATTGCACATTTGCCACAATGTAAATAAATACTTGCTTGTTAAGGTATTTCTTAATTTTAAATTTTATCCTGGAACTTCTGTAGGTAGGTAGATAAACACAAAAAATTAAACCTTGAGCCTATGGGTCACTGAACATGAGTCTGGATTCCTCGTGGTGCCGCGGCTTGCACGTGTAATCGTAATTGGGAAACAATGAAATACACTAGCACGTATATACTTACGGGAGTGCGACGATGAGGCTACAATTGTAACAGAATTGCTCGAACTTGGCACATTAGGTTTTTTCTGAAACCTGTACTGTCTCAAATAACTCATATTACTATTACTGTCAGACATCTTAGTTGTATCTTTGCAAATATTTCTTTAACAAAGTGAAGCGCAATTATTTATGGAGGTACTGAAAAAGTTTATTTTATAAGTTACACGTAAAAAATTACAATTATTACAAGAGCACGGCACAAAAGCAACACTTCACGGCCATTTTTATCCGCGGGACTAAAAGAAAAAAATAATTTACTTAACCATTAGTAAGTACTCTTAAAAAATAAATATTCCTTACGGACCAATGATAGCTTAGAAGTTGACAATTTGATAGAAAATTTTGTTATTTGATCCAATCAAAACTCTCTTCTTTTTTCAGAAGGGCTATACATAGTCTGGTAATGCAGGCAAAGACTTTACCTATATAAAGTCTTTGAATGCACGCCATTCACATCACAACCATAGACGTATATTTAAACAGGCCAGGACTCTGAGTACTCCTACCGATAAAATGGGACAAGATTGAGCGATAAAAAAATGAAGCCTTTTTATTCCTTTTTATAAGGACTCACGACACGCCACGACACTTAAATATGTTTCTGACTTTAGTCAGGGTAAAAGTCCCTTAAAATTGGGGAGTCAAATAGACCTTTTATTCTGGTCACACTGCTCCCCTCCCTCAATCAAAATTATCTGTCAGAGTAAAGGTGCGGCCATGTTGATGTGTAGTGAATAAAATTAATTTATTTCAATTTTAGGGATATAAAATTGACACAATATGCCCAAATGCGACCTAAAAACTAGATACATCCCTGCGACATTCGCGTGGACTTTATTGTTGGGCACAACATCTCTATTTTTTTATTTTCCGTAAGTATACATTTATCATTGATGGATACAAATAATCTTTTTCGGTTTGACCACTTTCACAAGATTACCTATTTCTATAAATATCTTGGAGACTGTACCTTTGCACTATTCTGCTGTGTATAGTTTGAACATATTACTGTCGAGGCTTTAGTCAGATCGCTATTACAATGGTTCGCATGTTCGTTACATGATTAGCCATGCTGTTACTGTTGTAATTTACATTATTTACATTAGTACTGTAACAGAATAGGTGCTTATGTGAAATATAAAAAGTTGTCTTTATCCATTTATAGTTACCAAGTAATAAATCAAGTATCAAGTAAATAACTAGCCATTAAAATCTGTTCATAATAGTGTAAACAATACAATTTATCTAGGTACTAACATATGACAGCTAAAACTAGGTCAGTGTCCTTTCTTTTAATTATATTAAATCATGTGAATGAGCTCTAAAATTTAGGATGATAATATTTTTGCATATAAATATGTCTTTAGCTATTAGCTTATTACAAAAAGTCTTATTTATAAAAGGTATTTTGGACTTCAACCCTTGAAAGGATATTTTATTGTTAACTTTAATGCTAAAATACTGATATGAAATAGCAAATAGCAATTAATATTGAGTTTTCCATGTCATGTGAAAGTTCCTAATAAATTATGTATATTAATGTCCAAGTTATATACTGACTGTTGCTTATACATTCTAAGACTTAAAATTAGATAAATCAATAATCAGGACAAATTACTGAAGGACCATATTTGGAGCTGGGACTATTTTGGTCAAATCAGATTAACTATTATACAAACATGTGTGAGACATAGTGGATATATAAGACTTATAATAAAAGATAAGACATGTTGTATTGTGTTTGTTTCCAAAATTACTACTTATTTATGAGAACAGATTAACATGTCTATTATTGGTTGGCCTATTTGCTAACTTTTTTGACATTTACAATGTTAACAAAAAGGAAAATTGCATATCCATTGATGCTTTTCAGTACAAGTATCTTAGCTCAGTACAATAGCTTGGTGATTATCACTTCCATCTGTCAATAACCCATAGCAAGTAACCATACTGAAAGACAAATTGAAAAACCCACAGCAAGCAAGCAATAGGTTAAATGTCAAAAACTGTTGTAAAAACCTTTGATCTTGGATTGACAAATCATTTGTTATTGGTATTTTTTTTCATTGTTAAATTACCTTTCTTGTCATTAGGTTGAGGTCAAGTTAACATGACATGTCATTAGCTAATAATACTGTCCTATATTACAGACTCTAATCTTCTCTAATTATTGATTGATTATGAGAATGTCTGTATTTACCTTGCGTTTTGAAAACTTTATTTTTTTACATCATCCTTTTTGATGAGGCTTTGGTTTGGATATTTTATTTAAGATCTTATGAAGATTGCCTTCTGTTAATTATTACTACACCTTTGTAGACAAACCATTATAAAGGAAAATTTTCAAGAATTGAGTTACTAAGTACTGCCATTTTTAATGTTATTCAATTTAATTTTTATTTAATTTTACTTAATTTCTATTTGCTTTTGATTTTATTTTATTTGATTGATAATTCACTTATTAAAGTACTTAATACAATTTAAATGAATTGTAATTATTTGTAATTTATATATTTTATTATTATTATTGTGATTATTTAATTTGATTATCAATTGTTTTTCTATTTCTGTATGAAATATGGGTACTACACCTGAAATTAATAATAGGGGCATTCCACGCGAAGCGGACAGGTAAAAAAACTCGATGTTTCCGATTTCAGTAATATTTGAGTATGTTCTACTTATACTTATTATTGATACGCGTACCAAATATTTTTGTGATATAATGACTAGTTAAAGAGTAATGGGACTTTGAAGTTTTCGACAACCGGTTGGCATGCAGTACTTCAAAGCCGATTATGGACTCATAAAATTATATATTAAAATAAGTAAACCACTGGATTTCCTACTTTATTTACTGGGCTTTTTAACTGTGTTTTTGGAAAAGAAAAAAAAAATTTTTTTTCGTAAAAAAAATCCAATTTAAGTTTTTTTCCTTGATTTTCACCAAGTTAGACCATTTAGTTTGTTTTTATTTTTTTTTATATAAATTGCTAATATTGTGTAGAACATTGGTGCCAACTTTTATAATGGGCGTGAAATTGGAATAGGAGCTAGACTGAAAATACTGCCGAAGGGTGGCGTCCAGCGCCGCGCCTGTCGACCGCCGCTTGTGCGCGATTAGTCATCTAAACTTTCAATCAAATAAAATCACTTTTGACGGAATGTTTTGTAGATTTTTAATAAAACCAATACATAGAAAAAAATCCACGCGGACCAAGCAGCAGACGGGTCTCGAACCCGCACCCTTCGCAATCCGGGCGAATGCACTGACCAATTATGCTACTGCGGCCCTCACGGACCGCGTCGAAATTCCTCTAGCCATTCTTAAGCTGCAAGGCAGCGCCATCTCTTCGCATTATAGGTAACCCACAATGTCAAATGAATACTTTTACAAGTATTAAACATTTGACAGAAGAAATAGCAATTATAGTTATAATTTTTATTTCTTTAAAGCATGTAACTGCTTGATGTTTAAATCTAAAGAAAATATAACTAGAAAAAAATCCACGCGGACCAGGCAGCAGACGGGACTCGAACCCGCACCCTTCGCAATCCGGGCGAATGCACTGACCAATTATGCTACCGTGGCCCTCACGGACCGCGTCGAAATTCCTCTAGCCATTCTTATTAAGAATTAATCTTAAATATTAAAATTAATCATACTTGGGGAGGGGGGGGGGGTCTCCGTTTTTGTGACGGAATATTTCAAGAGGGGTCACAGAAAGTGTGACACAGAGTGACAATAGGGGGGGAGGGGGTCGGAAAAAGCTGATTTTAGCGTGACGTATTTAATGAACGGCCCCTAATATAACATTTTGGATTACCTATAATGCGAAGAGATGGCGCTGCCTTGCTGCTTAAGAATGGCTAGAGGAATTTTGACGCGGTCCGTGAGGGCCGCGGTAGCATAATTGGTCAGTGCATTCGCCCGGATTGCGAAGGGTGCGGGTTCGAGTCCCGTCTGCCGCCTGGTCCGCGTGGAATTTTTTCTATGTATTGGTTTATTAAAAATCTACAAAACATTCCGTCAAAAGTGATTTTATTTGATATACAGTTTGATGACTAATCGCGTACAAGCGGCGGTCAACAGGCGCGGCGCTGGACGCCACCCTTCGGCAGTATTTTCAGTCTAGCTCCTAATCCACTTTCACGCCCATTATGAAAGTTGGCACCAATGTTCTATACAATATTAGCAATTTATATAAAAAGAAATAAAAAAAAAGTAAATGGTCTAACTTGATGAAAATCAAGGAAAAAAACTTAAATTGGATTTTTTTTCCGAAAAAAAAATTTTTTTTTCTTTTCCAAAAACACAGTTAAAAAGCCCAGTAAATAAAGTAGGAAATCCAGTGGTTTAGTTATTTTAATATATAATTTTATGAGTCCATAATCGGCTTTGAAGTACTGCATGCCAACCGGTTGTCGAAAACTTCACAGTCCCATTACTCTTTAACTAGTCATTATATCACAAAAATATTTGGTACGCGTATCAATAATAAGTATAAGTAGAACATACTCAAATATTACTGAAATCGGAAACATCGAGTTTTTTTACCTGTCCGCTTCACGTGGAATGCGCCAATAATAATATTCTTTATTATACACAACAAAGGACACAAGACATAAACTTATAACATAAATGTTTATTATTATTCTGTTACTATTATGACAAATTCTATTGCAATAAAGCAGTGCAATATCTATACTTAAGCTAGAAGAAGAAAATTTTTATATTGTAATTCAGCAACAGTTTGTCTTGCAAGGTTTGTACCTAACACAGTAAGGCTTTTAAAGTTCATTGATCAAATCAAATAATTTTCGCAATACTTATGTCAAATATATGGGAAGAAGCTTGATGGCGCAAGTGGTTAGAGCATTTGGCCGCGATCGTTGAAGTTCAGCAACTTTCGCAGTGGTTGGTCATTGGATGGATGACAAAAATTTACTAACTCGAGCTCCTCCATGTTTCGGAAGGCACGTTAAGCCGTTGGTCCTGTCTACATCTGCAGTTGTTAGCACCCACCAATCTGCACTGGGCCAGCATGGTGGGTTATGGCCCAAACTCCCTATTCCAACCATAGGGAAGGCCTGTGCCTGCCCAGAAGGGACATTAATAGGCTGATGATGATGATATCATAATAAAGACACTTATATTGTTGAATATTTTTTTCAGCTGTCAGTACTACCTCCACAAGCACCCATGGGTTCCTGCATATCAAGGTGTCATAACATTTTTTGTTTTGGCCAATTTTACACTGGCCACTTTCATGGACCCGGGAGTCATACCAAAAGGTTAGTGCTCTATTTATTTTGAAACCGTAATCATCATTGTAACAACAAACAGATTGAACGTTGATATTATATCTGATTCATAAATATTGTTGAGCTAGATAGTAAGATACCTAATCCTGATAAAATAATTTTCAACAGATTATCTGATAAAGACAATCTAATGAATTGATCTTCAAAGAGTATTTAAAACTTTGTAATTCATGTATTTCATTTGTATTTTAAATGACTATCGGTATTATATGGTTTGCTTGGTTTTCACTTGTACTTAAGTGTCTTCTAAATTCTTATCAAGTTTTAATCAAAATAATTTGTGGCACAATAATAGTTCTTTGCTGGATTTTATTGATAAGTAGCACACTAGTATTGCACATGGCTCAGCTTCTAATAGATAGTATTTAATATTATTTATCAAACTGTTCTGATAAACTGGTTCAGTTTCACTACATAATGACTGCTTACATTGCTAACATGAGAATGAGTAACAATTAATATATTTATTTATATCAATGTATATCAATAAATTTAAAAAGACATTTTTAGCTCTACAATTGTTTATTAACAGATATGTCATGAGAGATATTACTTCTAATTGTTGCAGCAGTGTCTATTAGGCTTTGTAAGGAATAAAAAGGACATACTGATGTCAAGTTAGCAAATACGAATACCAAGTGTTCTGAATTTTGTTCCATGCTCTTCATGACACAGTACTACTTCTTTGTGTTGCTGAAGTGTTTTGGTACATATTATTGTCAGTGCATTCGGTGAGGGTACTGGTTCAAGTCCCGTCTGCTGCCTGGACCGCGTGAATTTCTTTCTAGTCAATTTTTCTTTAGATTTATACAACTAGCAGTTAAATGCTAAAAATTTTTTTTTTTATTATTGGATGACCTCCGTGGCCGAGTGGTTTATACGCCGGGTTTCATGGTGTCCCGACTCGAGAGGTCACGGGTTCGAATCCCGGTGGGGGCAGATGTTTGTGTGATGAATACCAGCATTTGTACTCCAGTCATGGATGTTTTATATGTCTTTCTATATAAATATACTTATATATGTATTTTATCCGTTACCCTAGTATCCCATAACACAAGCCTTACAGCGCTTACTTTGGGCCTAGGCTAATTGGTGTATGTTGGAAATATTTATTTATTTATGGTTTTTTTTTGTTACAGCGCCACCTGACGAAGATCGCGAGGACGACTTTAGAGCTCCGTTGTATCGTAGCGTGGAAATAAACGGCATAACCGTACGGATGAAATGGTGTGTCACGTGCAAGTTCTACAGGCCGCCGCGCTGTTCTCATTGCTCTGTTTGCAATCATTGCATAGAGGTATGTTGCTTGTTATGAGGATAATGGTTTTTTTTTGAGTGTGTATGCTGTTGGTCGCAGATGACCTTTACAGTGTCACCGAGTTTGGGGACGGCGAGATCCTTAGGGGACCTCAAGCCGAGAATTGGCGAGGGCCTCTAGAGGTATTCCAAGTGGATGGCATCTCCCTATCTGAGTGGGTAATGGGATTATTTGTACAGTGCGATTTTAAACTTAATAACGGCAGTGAAGTTACCGCAAGTAGCGGCGCATTAAACAAAATTTAGGCACGTGCTAGGTTTGACGATGGTGAAGTTAGCGTTAGTAGCGGAACAATGAACAAAATTTAAACACGCGCTGTTTCTCTATAGACATAGAGACTGGACTGAATGTTTCCTGTCCATGTAAGTGAGACAAAAGTAATTGTGAATGAGAGGAAGCGAGCAAGCGATGTTTTTGTAGAGAGTTGTCAATTGAATGCGAGGTGTCGCTCAGTCCTTGATCTTTTCTCTGTGTCTATGGGTTTCATTGACTGATTGCGAGGGTTACGCATAGTTGCACTCGTTGCTAACTTCACAATCGCTATAAAGCTGAAATCGCACTATACAACCAACAGCAGCTTTAGGTTACTACAGAACGTCAAAACTTTGCAATCGAAAATAAAACTTCATTTTTATGTTGAGAGTAGTATAATTCCCACAATCGCACACTGAATGCACTACCTACTTCCTACAATGCTTTTATACAGAAATTTTCGTTTTTTTTTTTTTTGTAACCAGTAATCTTAGTACAGGTACGCGGCATGTAACTCTAGCGCTGAACAAAACGCGTCAGGGATAGCTGCGCATGGGTACGACCATAGAGGTATAAGAATAGAGTGGGGAAGGCGGCTCTAAAAGTGTCCGTCTAATAGAAAGAGAAAGAAGATGAGAGACCGCTAGCTATCTCTCCCCCGTTTTTTTTATATATAGTTCCAATAAATGACTCCACCCCACCTGATGTTAAGTGAAGGTGAAGTCCAGACGCGACGATAGCTGATACAGCAGTTCTACCTGCCACACCAGCCGTCCTCACCCTGCCGGCCTGCATGTTGCTTCTTCACGCCTCTTTTAAAGGATCCCAGGTTGTAAGAGGGAGGGAACACGTGAGCGGGCAGAGCATTCCATTTACGGATAGTGCGACAAAGAAATGAGTCACCAAATTTCTTTGTATGCGTTGGAATTGTGGCCACAGTTAGACGGTGACAACGTAGGCCAGCGCGCGTATACTTGTGACGCATGCGCAGTCGTCTGTCCAATAATTGGTCCAAGCATCACATCGAAATAGTAAGATGCTTACGGTTGCCAATGCGCATGCGCGATTAGAGAGAGAATGCTAGCGGTCTCTCATCTTCTTTCTCTTACTATTAGAGAGACACTTCCACTTGTAGTAGAGTCTATATCTACCCTACTTTATTCTTATATCTCTATAGACTGGACTGGAGAGCCCATCGGCGCAACGCACGCTCCACCCGCGCACATCGTTTCCCCCCAAGACAACTTAATTTTTACTTCTGCCGCGATTTATACTATAACATGGTGCGCTTCAAGAGAGGCTTAAATACAGAAAGGCAGTGGCATGGCTGTGTCACTGGCATTGCTGAAGTCCATGGGCGATGTTGACTTCTAAACATCAGGTGGACCGTCCGCTCATCTGCCTTCGAAGGCAAAAAAAATATTTTCGTACAACTTGCTCAAAAAAGTGACATTCTATGCCACAAAAGCGAACATAACAATAGTCTTTTTTAATCTGTTAAAAACAGGGAAAGAAAATTGTACTGGATTTCTGGGGAGAATGTGATTTAAATTTGGAATACTTACCGAAATTTATACTGAACTACATCTGTGTTTACACCATTGAGTTTGTATATAAAGCATTATACATCTTTTTGAAAAAGGATTACGCATTGTTAATTTTTTCGCAAATGGTACGAAAAGTAGAGTATTTTCCTCGGTGATAAAGCTGTCTTAGTCTTGGATGAACTTAAATCCCTCGCTACACTCATGACTCGTCTTAAAACCCTCGCTTCGCTCGTGATTTAAGTTTTTAACACCCTCGCTACGCTCGGGAGTTAAGCTCGCGTCCTTCGTTACGCTCGCGATTTAAATCATCACCCTCGACAGAAGACACTGCTGTATCCCCTTGGTTAATAATCTACTATTAATGTCATGAAAAGCATTACTTTTTATTTTCCAGACGTTTGACCACCACTGTCCATGGGTGAACAACTGCATCGGCCGACGGAACTACAGGTTCTTCTTCTTCTTCCTCATATCGCTGTCCATACATATGCTCAGCATATTCGGACTCAGCTTGTACTACATCATGAACAACAATAAAACTCTGACGCAAGTCGAGCCCATTGTATCGTATCCTTTGCATATATTTAAAATATGTTACTTAAAAACTTCTCTTGTCCATTCGTATTTCGTCGCTGCGCTTGCAAGAATCACTATGTGTTTTAGATCTAGTTTACAGGCAACACAAAGAACTAACAGATACTATTACTTCTTTTAGTTTGCATGAGTTAACATAAGGAGATAGAAAGTCTCTCTGAGTTTGTTTCGCCCACAGCACCGAAATGCCAGAATCGGGCCCAATGTACGTATTGTTGAAATATTGTAAGAAAAACGAGCGAGCTTTACAGTAGTCGCGTATGATGTGTAACATTTGAAACCCTCACCTTATATTAGTAAAAAAAAAAAAAAACCTACTACAAAAGGAATAAGCCATTTGAACATTATGTTCTCAATAAAAATCAAAAGAAATAGCACGCGCTTTCGCGACTTCCTGTTACACACTTCAGTCCCTTTCACGAAATCACTCCCACAAATTGCAGGAAAGATGTTATACATCAACAAACAATTGTCTTGTCAACCTTAACTCCACCCAAACAGTATGGTGATAATGGGCATAATCGCACTCCTCGCGATCCCCATATTCGGTCTGACCGGATTCCACATGGTGCTGGTATCCCGCGGACGCACCACAAACGAACAAGTCACTGGGAAATTCACCGGCGGATACAATCCCTTCTCTAAGGGATGCTGGTACAACTGTTGCTATACGCAGTTCGGGCCACAGTACCCTAGGTGAGTTCATGCTTGTAATATTTTCATTTATAACGTTTAATTGCTAGATGTTTGTATCTAAAGAAAGTTTTACTAGAAAAAAATCAACGTGGTCCAGGCAGCAGACGGGACTCGTACCCGCAACCTCTGCTATCCAGGCGGATGCACTGACTTTTTTCTAGTAAAATTTCATTTAGAGTTAATGCTTGTTGTATCGATTACTAGCAGGTGTGTAGTTCTTCTGGGTTCCTATACAAAATTTCATGCCCTATTTTATCTTTTTCAAATTTTATTTGCACGACAAAAATTTAAAATAAGCCTTATATCTATCTCATTTATGGCTATACCAAAAACATACCCAACCAAAAAATTCACTTTCCCATTTATGACATAGGATATTGATAGAATAGGCTACAACCTTTCTCTAAGGGATGCTGGTACAACTGTTGCTATATGCAGTCAACGATATTAATTTCCCTAGATACAACAATACGAACAAAATCATGCCCGAAACCTGTCCAAAAGGTACATTGGACGGTCCACGGAGCTCCGTAAGATGATCGCGTAGTCAAAAACAATATAATTCATTATCTAAACATTTAAAGTCACCTTTAATGCATACTGTATAACGTCTTAATTAAAACGCATGCGTCAAAGAGTTATGACAGTCCGAAATGTAAGCTTGTAAAATTTACAACTTATTGCTCTATTCGGAAGAACAAAGACCTTATTTCTTCGACTCTACGCGCAATTCTGAATGCGCTGTTACCAATATAATAGGTGCGGACCATGAGGAAAATAACCGACCATGCATTTGAATATCAAGCACTTCTTGATTGGGACAAATTTTAAGCGCATGTGTTGTATCAAGGGTATTTAATATCGTTGACCACAGTACCCTAGTTGAGTTAATGCTTGTTGTATCAATAACCAACGGGTGTGTAGTTTAACTGGTTGAAAACGTCTTCCCCATTTTACTCAACGAACTAGAAATAATATGGAATACGAACTACGCTAAAAAGTGGTTCCACGAAAACTGCGATCAAGTAGGCGGGGCGAAAAAAGGTTCTTTCATATTCAATAACATATTTATATTCTATACAGTACACTCTCTCTACACCTATATCAAAATATAGGTGTAGAGAATAAATATCTTAATTGCGTAATTGACCATGATATGAGACCTATCAAGAAACGTGTTAACAGCTTATGCATAAAGACGAAATTTTTATGCAACCAATTATTCAATTTGATGAGTATGAGATCTTGTCGATGATGTAAGCAATGCATTATTATGTTCATCTTTTTACTGGTTTCAGTATATTAGGTGTTAATAAGAGCGATTTTTTTTTATTTAAAAAGTTAACAAAAGCAGTTCATAAAAGCCAACATCGCAGGATGTTGGAAATGTCAAGAAACTGAATCGTGTCAATGGCTGGAAGGCGTCGTTCTCTGGTACGGATCGAAAGTATGTCACATGATATATTTTTAACAATTCGATAGCATGATCATGATATTAAAAAAAAAGTATTCTATCGAGTAGGTACTGTTTAGCTAGATGGGCATTGGTGACGATAATGGCATGTTTCTCTTAACTTAAAACTAAATTGAACATCAGTCTCTCCTTTTCATTTTGTATAGAGAATGACAAGGGTACACTGTTGTCAAATTTAAGTTAAGGTTTAAAGAATCATGCCATAATTAGCACTATTGTCATATTTGTACCTACCTACCCCATTTACCTTTATATACGGCTGACATAATAGGCTAGTTGACACTTTTGTGGAAATATGTTTGAAATTGTTAATAAATTAGATCGAAAAAATATGTATTGTATTTTTTTTTGACCTAGAAAGCTACACAAAGTTTAATTTTAAAATAGATTTTCATGGACATACAAATACGCTGTCGGCCATTTTAGTCTATAGATTATCTATGCTATGACGTCAAAAAAATTGTAAACAAACACTCGCAAGCTCGTAGGAAATAACCTATCTGAATTTATATTATAAAAACATGATTTTTGATCTATTAAAAATCATGGTTTTATAATATAAATTGAGATACGTTATTTCATGATAAATATAGTAATTACCATGAACACATCGTTATACTCCAGAAAAGTTGTGGTTTAAATTGCCTAGAGAAATACACATACCTACACAAGAACACACTTTTAAAACTTGCTTAATCCTGCAACTTATTGTCTGAAAATCATTTCTTTTAGGAAAGATCATTGAAAAAAAAATTAAAGTTTAAAAATACATTTTTTAAGGTTATGAATGTACCTACTAAATCAAAAAGTTTTGTCAATTCTGCTTTCACAAACCCGGCGTCCAGCATTAATTTAGTCAACAAAACCAATAAACGAATACTTTCTACATGATATACGAGTTTTTAGATATATTTTAGTCCGACGAAAGAAACCACAGTAATAGTCCAGTCAACAAGTTCAAAAACGTGAAAAATAGAGATAAAGCTCCTAAAAATATGAGCAATAGCTCATTGGATTCGGAACGACCTCTAGAAAAATGAGTTTTGAGGATTTTACTGCACGTAAAAAATTGCAATTGTTATTAACAAAATAAGATGAAAAAAAAGAGGTATTTACGTTTTTGTTAATAACTCATAAACTATTAATATTTACGATATTTGGAAAAAAGGTCCGTAAGAGGAGGAAATTTCCAAAAAACGTCCCAGCTCCCGGAACTCTACCTCTATTATTTATAATTTTAATTTAACGCTGAAAATAGGGCTCCGCGCAGCCATTACGGCATGGGCGCACTGCCGTTAAAGACAGTTTCTTACATAAAATTATTTTTTTATAGTAACAAATATGAATTTAAAAATTTAAATAAATTATGGTGTCATCCAGATACTTGAAAGAATATATTCCCGTTGGAAATTTTTTTTTAAATTAATTTTTCAAAAAGTTATGCAATTGTTAATTAACGAATTTTTTTCCTATCTCCGTTTTCATAAATGACGACATAAAAATTTAAATAATAAACCTATAAATTTTTGGCTCTGTGGAGCTCTTCTTATATATATACTTAACAAGATCCCGCGATAAAAGTTTATTAAAGTTAATTATTTTGTTTATAACAATTTTTTAAAGTTAACAAAAAATGAAAAGTCTAAGAAATGTTATTAAAAAAATTTTTTTAAACAAATGTTATATTATTGCTGCTTTCTTATCCAACAATGGCATTAAGTAACATCGGAAAAAAAATTTTTACATCATTTGTTAAGAAATTGTTTATAAACAAATAGACAAGTTTAATATTTAAAGAATTTTTTTTTTACCATTATGTTGTCTTGGCAAAATAATGATTTTTAAAAAAAAATTTCTTAAATAATTTTTTTTATTGTTTATAATCGTTTTTTTTTATATTTCGATTGTTTAAATAATTAGTTAAGGAATGATTTTCTCTTTAAAAATCATAATTGGCATTTCTTCATAGGTAAATAGAAAAAAAAAATATCAATAATTTCATTGTTTGTTAACTTAACAATTTGTTATAAACAAATTCTAACTACCGTTATATTTTTTTTCTAGAGCTAAAAAAATAACAAAAACAGCCATATATATCAAAATACTAAAAAAAAAAAATTTTCTATTTTTTATAACGCTTTTAAATATTACACGATACCAAAGTTGCACCGGACACTTGATTTGTCAAGTAAAAAATTAATATAACTTATAAACTATTCGAGATACGATAATGGACATTCAGGTCGTTTTTATAAAGCATTAATTAATCTTCAAAATAAGTTAAAAACCAAGTTTGTAACTATTGTTTATCAGCTAATACATGCATTTGTTTATAAAATTTTGAGATTTCTTTAACTTTTTCGTATCTCTTATGACTTACAACTTAATAAATAATTAAAATACAGCTATAAACCTTAAAACATTTTTGTTTAGCGATACATTATCTCCCAAATTATCAATTAATCGTACCTCCATCTCTAATATGACAGAAAAGGTGTCAACTAGTTCAGTTCAAAACTTCGATAGACCAAGCTGTTCTGCAATCCCTCCCTTAAAGAAAAGAAGGAAACGAACTATTTGAATTTGTATTATTGCATTGTATTATTTCCTCGAATATATTTAGAATTATTATTATAAAACAGTGACTTTTATTTTATAAATCCATTTTATCCTAACATTATTTCTAATATTTTTTTCATACCAATAAATGTAATTCTATTTAATTATAATAAAATATATAAAAATATGGTTTACATGTAAAAATTTAGAAGATACGGCATATCAAACTACAAAAAATATGAAAAAAAAATACTTAGTGGCATCGAAGAAACTATTTATTTAAATAAATGATAAAATCAGTTTCACTTAGAAGCTATAATAACTTATAATAATGTAGAGAAAATTAAAAAATTACAAAATGAAGGTAAGTGTTAGATAAATATTAATTAAATCACGTATATTGTTTAAACAATTAGAGATGGAGGTACGATTAATTGATAATTTGGGAGATAATGTATCGCTAAACAAAATTGTTTTGAGGTTTATAGCTGTATTTTAATTATTTATTAAGTTGTAAGTCATAAGAGATACGAAAAAGTTAAAGAAATCTCAAAATTTTATAAACAATTGCATGTATTAGCTGATAAACAATAGTTACAAACTTGGTTTTTAGCTTATTTTGAAGATTAATTAATGCTTTATAAAAACGACCTGAATGTCCATTATCGTATCTCGAATAGTTTCATTTCATTTCATTTATTTATCTATTTGTGGTACATAGGTAATACATGGTTATTATGCTTGAATATACAGTCCAACTACGACCAGCCATCAGGCATACAAATATAGAATTAATAACGGTAAAATATTAAAATTAAATTACAATTCAAAATAAAATGTCATCATAATAATAATTGTTAGTAATCTTAATTAAACTTCTTTTCATTTACTTAATCCTTATCCATCAGATACACATTATTATACTACATAAAAAAAAATAACAATTACAATAAATTTAAATTCAAAAGTCATCACAATATTAAATATCATTCATCGTAATCATATTTATATATTACTCGATAAGTCCTTATCCATCAGATATTCATTTATACATTATAAAGTTTTTTTTAACATGCCTCGAAGTCTTTTTTTTTTAAATATTAATTTGATGTATGTTAATTAATTTGTTTGAAAACGGAATTTAATTGAAAACCAGGGAAACGTTTCCAGTCAAACTTTTAAGCATAAACGCAGTTAATCAAATAAAAGAAAAATAATAATAATATGTCAGGCGTGAATACAAAAATGTTACCGTAATGTCAAATTAGAACACATGTCAAAATGAAGATAATGTCAAATTACAAATTATGTCAAATTAAATTATAGGTCAATTACAAGATCGGTCATTCAAATAAAATAACAAATTAGGAATACAGATGAACTACAATATTAATTTAAAATTTATCCGTCATATATTTTTCTAGTGTATAGTAAGCTTTTTCCACAAGTAGTTTCTTAACTCTCATTTTAAATGTTTGGATATTGGATATTTCTTTTAAACATTCTGGTAATTTATTGTATAGTCGCGGTGCCATACCAAATATACTTTTATTGTAAAGGGCAGTCCTACTGGCGGGAAAGCAAATATCGTTTTTATGTCTTATACTTCTAAGATGTTGAAACATGCTTATGTTTGCTTTCACAAAGACTACCACTTCATAAATATACAGAGATGGTACTGTCATTATGTTAAGGTTTGCAAAGTGTTGCTGACAACTGTCCCTATATTTTAATTTACAAATCGCTCTTATGCATTTTTTTTGAGATTTAAATACTATATTAATTTTTTAATTTATAATTTATAATATTTAATTTTTAATATAATTAAGTTTATAAGTTATATTAATTTTTTACTTGACAAATCAAGTGTCCGGTGCAACTTTGGTATCGTGTAATATTTAAAAGCGTTATAAAAAATAGAAAAAATTTTTTTTTAGTATTTTGATATATATGGCTGTTTTTGTTATTTTTTTTAGCTCTAGAAAAAAAAATATAACGGTAGTTAGAATTTGTTTATAAGAAATTGTTAAGTTAACAAACAATGAAATTATTGATAAAAAATAAAAAAATTCTATTTACCTATGAAGAAATGCCAATTATGATTTTTAAAGAGAAAATCATTCTTTAACTAATTATTTAAACAATCGAAATATAAAAAAAACGATTATAAACAATAAAAAAAAATATTTAAGAAAAATTTTTTTTTAAAAAATCATTATTTTGCCAAGACAACATAATGGTAAAAAAAAAATTCTTTAAATATTAAACTTGTCTATTTGTTTATAAACAATTTCTTAACAAATGATGTAAAAAATTTTTTTCCGATGTTACTTAATGCCATTATTGGATAAGAAAGCAGCAATAATATAACATTTGTTTAAAAAAAATTTTTTAATAACATTTCTTAGACTTTTCATTTTTTGTTAACTTTAAAAAATTGTTATAAACAAAATAATTAACTTTAATAAACTTTTATCGCGGGATCTTGTTAAGTATATATATAAGAAGAGCTCCACAGAGCCAAAAATTTATAGGTTTATTATTTAAATTTTTATGTCGTCATTTATGAAAACGGAGATAGGAAAAAAATTCGTTAATTAACAATTGCATAACTTTTTGAAAAATTAATTTAAAAAAAAAATCCAACGGGAATATATTCTTTCAAGTATCTGGATGACATCATAATTTATTAAAATTTTTAAATTCATATTTGTTACTATAAAAAAATAATTTTATGTAAGAAACTGTCTTTAACGGCAGTGCGCCCGTGCCGTAATGGCTGCGCGGAGCCCTATTTTCAGCGTTAAATTAAAATTATAAATAATAGAGGTAGTGTTCCGGGAGCTGGGACTTTTTTTTTGGAAATTTCCTCCTCTTTAAGGACCTTTTTTCCAAATATCGTAAATATTAAAAGTTTATGAGTTATAAACAAAAACGTAAATACCACTTTTTTTTCATCTTATTTTGTTAATAACAATTGCAATTTTTTACGTGCAGTAAAATCCTCAAAACTCATTTTTCTAGAGGTCGTTCCGAATCCAATGAGCTATTGCTCATATTTTTAGGAGCTTTATCTCTATTTTTCACGTTTTTGAACTTGTTGACTGGACTATAACACGACAATGACGTTTAGTTGTTTACAACTTTTGTGTCGTCACAATCATGGTGGACAGCGTTTTTAGTGTTTAAAAAGCATAGACTAAAAATTTTTTCAAATTAAATTACTACAGCCATCTTCTAATTTTATGAAGTGTGAAATCAATGTATTTAGGTGCCTCACACCAAAAATTATAAGTTATAAACATTTGTATAGTGCAATTTGACATGAGGTAACTAGCCTATTGTCTACCCAACTTGGATAGATAATTATTAGTAGGGATGATTAACACGCGTGTACATGTCTGACTCACTCATTTGTCACTCGACGTCCGTAAAGGTAGAATCATAATTACACTATTGTATTGTAAGATGGCGACGCCTCAGAAGAGTATCGGTTTCATACATTAGTTGAATTAAACAATCGCCCCCTCCCTCTATCAGGTCAGACCAGATTATGCCACGTGTTAGTAGATTCTTGAAATATTATGTTTACTCGTATTTCGCAACTAGAGTTACCATCCGTCCGGATTTATCCAGATATGTCCGGACTTTTTGCCTTTTATCTGGACTTTGCCCAGCTTTTTAATTAGTGCGGACTTTTTTAATTAGATGGAATATGAGTAAAACTACTTATTAATTTATATCAAATAAGTCAAATAATCTTTATTAAGTTCTCATTAATTCAAAACAAAATATAAAATATCTTTAAAAATCAACAACGAGACCTCCCTCGCGATGTGAGCGTCTGCTACCACGCGCATAATATCACTGTAACTAAGTGTTTGCATTTTGTGACTAAAATGTCCGGATTTTTATCGTAATGTCCGGCTTTTTGTCGGGACTTTTCAAAATTTTAAATAGTAACCCTATTCGCAACAGCGTAGTGCGGCCGTCCAAGTACGTCTACAAGGGCGGCAAGAAGCGTCGCGAGGCACTAAGCGGTGCTGGCGAAAGCCTCCACTCGGCGTCCGTCATATCCACCATAGCGACCCCTTATTATTTTCTGGAAAATTTTAAATTAAACGACCCCTCCTCTCCTTCGGGTTTGATTATTAAAATGCGTATAAGGGTTCATATACACAGGCGGCAACAGTCGCCAACTTTACCCCAACAAAATATGATATTCATACATGTTTGGCGGTCCATAACAGCCTAGTGCGGCCGTCCAAGTACGTCTACAAGGGCGGCAAGAAGCGTCGCGAGGCACTAAGCGGTGCGGGCGCAGGCATACACTCGGCCTCCGCTATATCCACCATAGCGACCGACACGCAGCACCAGGTAAAGACGTACACGGCGGACAACGGAGCCGCGCACCGCCCGGCCGGCCCGCACGCCCACTACAACAAGGTGAGAGCCAGACGCTTGCGCTGTCATGCCCTAACTCGGACACTTATTTGCTCCAGTTTTGTACGTGTTATAATTCTATGTACCTGCCCCCCTAGCATGAGCACCTCAATCTAATATATAAAATTCTCGTGTCGCGGTGTTTGTAGTTAAACTCCTCCGAAACGGCTCGACCGATTTTCGTGAAATTTTATATGCATATTCAGTAGGTCTGAGAATCGGATGTAATCTATTTTTCATTCCCCTAAATGTTAAGGGTAATCCACCCCTAATTTTTTTTTTTCAATTTTAGATAAATTTTTTTATGAAACATCATACACAAATACTTCTACCACCAACCCCTATTTTTTTATGGCGGTACGAAGTTCGCTGGGACAGCTAGTCTATATATATAAAACTCAAAGGTGACTGACTGACTGCCATAGTGATCTATCAACGCACGGCCCAAACCACTGGACGGATCGGGCTGAAATTTGGCATGCAGGTAGATGTTATGACGTAGGCATCCGCTAAGAAAGGATTTTGATCAATTCTACCCCTAAGGGCGAGGGCGGGCTACGGGCACTAGTATTATATATAGCTCGTTTATATCACGCTTGATTGACAAATTACTATGTAGTTTGTCAGTTATAAGCGATAAACAACGTGATATAATGTGCTCATGCTACGGGGACTGGATAGGCGAAATCCCCTGTTTGCTCCTTAACTATAATTATGAACGCGATAAAATGCATCCTTTGTATCTATATTTATCCATATCTATCTATCTATCTATATTTAAAAATAGTTAAATCTCTGTTTTTATACAATACAATACAAAGCACTTTATTGTACAGCACAGAAAATATTACAATAAATACAGAACAATTTAAATCAAGCGTAACAATGGGTGGCCTTATCGCTAAAAGCGGTCTCTTCCAGGACCGCTTTTAGCGATACCGCCAACCTTTGGATTGAGATGATTAGAAGGAAGTGGAAGAGACGGCGGCGTAAATTTCAATGTAAATTATTAATATTTACATAAACAAATACATACACAAATCCAGTCCAGTCGGTAAACATAACAAAAGAGAATAAAAAACAAAAATGTTACAAACACAAATTTGGGTTTTAATTTGGGAGGACGAATGTTATAGGACCAGAAAATCGAGTCATAGTAAGGAAAAGGTTATCACGGTCGTTTATTCTCATTGTCAAACTTTTACATTTAGACCTGAAATGGTGAACCGAGTGTGTGATAAAGAAAGTCCTCCACTACTCACTGAAGAGCATCTTATTTTATTAATAATCAATATTTTTTTATTGCACATCAAATATCTTATTTAAACTTCCGTGAACAGAGTCTACTATACAGAGTTTTTAGTCTATTTAAGTTTATCGGCTATCTCCAAAACCACGAGTCTTCGATAATCGATAATAACGTTTCAAAGAAAGCGCGTAGGATCGAATTCCTTGGTACCCACCCCTTTGAACCTTTTATCCAAAATGGAGCACAAGGGATTATCGCCTCAATGTGACTGATCACTGATTTCACAAACTATACTTAAAAGAATTGAGCAAACAAGTCTCTGAACATCTTATTAATGTAATAATTGGTATCTAAGTACGCTCACCAAAAGTCCAATCACAAAATAAAACATCTTTGTGAAAGTTTTCAAATTAATGTATGATTATAGAAGCAATGGCATTAACAAATACTTATTAGACTGAAATTTTAACAAGCGTGCTTAGAACATTATACATTGGCTAGTTTATAAGCTAAGTAAGTGCCTTTATGACGCAATGTCGCACTGCAATAATTTAGTTCGATCTTATTTGTGTGCGTAACGTCAGTGAGACTTAAGCACATTGAAATACTATATGTATAACAGAAAAAAATTAAATAATCAACTGGACGTTAAGAGACCTTTCACATTTTTTGAAAAAAAAAAAACGTAATTTTTGAGCGCCTCGTTTACACCCTTAAAAAAGAATTAATGAGATGGAAAATCAATATAGTAATACATTATGTTACTACAAAAACAATTTTCTAATGTCGTAATAATTAATTTGATCTAATTTCTTAAACATTATTGAGAGATTGAGGCGTTTCAAGTTGTGCATATTATCATTTTTTCCGTAAAGTAGGTAGAATGATCAGTACAAAAAAAGGAAAATAGTTTTTGTGAATATTCTACATTAACTTAGGAAGAATGAATTTACTTAACTTCTATTGAAAATAGCCAAAATCTTTTCTAAGGGGGTAAACGAGGCGCTCAAAAATTACGATGTTTTGCAAAAAATGTGAAAGGGCTCTTAAGGGTCTAGAAATTATATTTATTTATTTCAACTGCTAAATTGCAATTCTGAACTTGAAAGAAATTGACGCCTTAATGTCTTCAATTCTATAGATACAATTTAGCAGTCGGAGTGCAATTAAAAAAATGTTAATTTCTTTTCTATTTTGTTTGTTTTGTTTTTGCTGAAATTGATCTGTTCAAACAAATTGTAAAGTGAACAAGTTTGAAATACCGTTGTTTTACTTTTTAAATCATGTAAATAAAAAAATATTTTTGGTTTTGATTTGACGTAAACAATATTTTTTTTGAGGTTAATGAAACTTTATATTTCCTTCGCGCATTACTATTTCTCTTATTTAGTGTATTTGTTTTTAATTAGAAATATAATCATGGCTTTACTTTAAAAATTTGCAGTGCATAAATCTCCATCATCAACATTATACTTATCTCTTATTATATTTTTTCTAAAAAATGGCTCAAGTATTAGAATTAGTTGGAGCCAATCGGAAATGAACTTCCTCACGCTTCTTTAGAATTCACAATAGCTTGTCACCTGTCATTAAATGCCGTAGCAAACACTTAGACAATCATGCTTGTAGAGCAAACTAATACATACCTTCAATTCACGATCAAGTTCTATACTTTAGCACTCGCACATTTATTTCAGAAGATCTTATCATGTGAATTGAAGACATGAGTATGTCTGGCTCTCTACTAACTTTAAATTATTATTGTGTATTGTTTCTTATGTTTATATATTTATCTCTTCGATAAGTGACGGATATTGAAGAGGATTCATATGTCATATTCATTGGGCTTATTCTAGGGATATTCTAGAGTAGACTAATTTTATTCATAATAAATATATCTGTTTCAAATAATACACACATTCTTTAAATCACTTTCCACCTTGAAATACCTGACTTATGATTTTAATTTAGTTTATCAAAATTTGTAATAAATCAGATTTGTCATTTTCATATAATAAATACCACCAATGTACATACACTACACACATGCGTCTTCATTAATTATATAATTTATTTATTTATACATGAAGCCAAAAAGAAGAGGTTTGATCGTAAAATAGAGGTAGTGTGCAAAGTATCGACTTTTTGGCGTACCTCGAACATAAAGACGCATTAGGAATCTGTAACTCTGGCGAGAGCGGCACCAGAGTGATATAGAAACGACGTTTTGGGTATCCCTAGAGCTTAGATTGCGAGCCATGAAAGTGGTCATCCAGAAAGTACGTCACACGTGAAGGGGGTCGACGAAGTGTAACATTTTGTGAACAGGGGTGGTAGTGGTCATAATTTTGGTGACGATACATTTTTAAACCTAATACTGTTAAACTATTATCAAAAATCTTTAAAATATTTAAAACTCTTTCTGAGTGGGTTTCAATTAATTCTTTGGCATATTTTCGGAACCGCTATTTAATTTAATTCCTAGATACAAAATATATGACGTCACACTAGGTTGGGGGGGGGGGGGGGGTTAGGTTTCACAAATTTGACCAAGTGTGACAGTGTGACGTACTTTATGGGTGACCCCAAGATGTTTTCGTGCACGTGTTATTAACTGGTTGGGATTCAGCTGTCGCCCGGGCGCGAGGAGCACGAGGGCGAGATGGACGGCCCCGGGGCTTCGCAGAGCGCGGACTGTGAGCCGACGCCGCCTCAGAGGAGGGCTTCGGCTGCAAATTTGTTCCCGCCGCCTGCACCGCACGCGCCTAGACCAATGCACTACCCGAGGCTGAGCCCGCTAGCGAGGAACACCAGGTAACTTTCCACACATAGTCATAAAATCACCTACTAATAAGTAAAGATGGAGATACTACGGTAACAGGAAGAAATCGAGATGGAAGTCCCAGGGCTTCGCATAGCGCGGACTGTGAGTCGACGCCGCTTCAGAGGAGGGCGTGAGTTCCAAATTGGTCCCGCCGCCTGCACCGCATGCCCCTAGACCGATGCACTAACCGAAGCCGAGCCCCCTAGCGAGGAGCACCAGGTAACTTTCTAGACATACACATACAATCAACAAGTCAAATAAAGATGGGGGTACTATGGTAACAGACATAAATACATATGAACATACAAAGATAAGTATATTTTTGTATAAACAAATTCATACATAATATAGGAAAAACCCCTCTTTCCACTCCGACGAATTGAACCGATCAACTAGTTGTGCCGAAACTCTAAAAATCTACTTTTCATCATATAAACATTTGGCGATTATTTGCAGCCACAGCGGCGCGACGCCCGGCTACCGTATGGTGATGGAGCCTCTCCGCTACGACGCGGGCTCCAACGGCGCGCGGCCCTCCCCTACTATGCAACAGCGCATCAAAGCGCTCGGAGTGCCCACCCCGCTGGCCGTCAACAGCCCCGTCAGAAGGTATCGTAGCACACAATCTGAACCACTGGTGGCCCCGCACTCTTGCTTAGATACACTTGTGACGACCTGAAAATGTATTAATATCATACAAAATTACATTAAAATTCAATTCATATTAATTCATTCACAAAAAACAATCATGGTTTAAACCAGGAATGTGCTGTACGACGATCATTCACTGCAAGAACAAATCAATACACAATAGGGTAAATTTCCAAAATTTTGAAACTGCTTATATTTAACAGAAAATTAAAAATAAATAAATTAATGTCTTTTTTTCTCCATTAAACCAATTAAAATTTAATTTATTTTTAATGGTTTTGAATTTACCGCCAAAACGCTCGGTTCGTTGATGTCTACTCTGTGACGTCAACTTTGTGTAAAGAATTTTAACACCTATGTTGTCTGAGGACGCTCTGTGATTACGGAATAATTATTTGACGATTTCTTTTCTTTTAAAATATTTTGTGTAAGTATTATACTATAAATTTATCCCGAACGTAAAAAAAGTTAATAATTTGACCTTCAGTTGATTACATAGCATACACAAAGTTGACGTCACACATAGTAGACGTCATCGAACCGAGCGTTTTGGCGGTAAATTCAAAACCATTAAAAATAAATTCAACTTTAATTGGTTTAATTGAGAAAAAAGACATTTATATATTTATTTTTATTTTTCTGTTAAACCGTTTGTCCCAATCTTTAAATATAAGCAGTTTTCTAAACTTTGGAAAATACTTTATTATGTATCAACAATGCATATATGACAAAAAACTAGATAAAAAACACTTTAACAGATAGATAGCCGAACGGAAACGGCCTTGGGTTCGATACCAAAAGATCGGTGATTCGATCCAGAGCTCGGTCAATGTTTTTCGGTGTGGTCGATTCCCAATAAAGTACCCCTACTGTCACCGCTGAATTTATCTAATACCATTCAGACAAAGACAAAATTATAAAAAAGAAATTCAATTGACTATGCTCTACATAGCGACTTCTTCTTGCAGTTAATTAATTTATTTTCGGACCACTTTTTTTTACTAGATGTTAACATTTATTCTGACAGCCGAAGAAACCGAGGCGACCTGTCAGGATCACATTATTCTTTCATTGGCCACACATTATTTTCCAACGAACAGTTTTATCAGGAAGTGTAAGATTCCAGTGACCACGCACGGCATTGGCAAGGGCACGCCCCTTTGTTAGTAATATTTAATTGTCAAATCACATTTATGCTGCGTACTATGAAATTAATAAAAGGTAGTTTAAAGTGTTATCTAAGCAAGATCGAGGGTACCGACATATCTCGGGCATAGTTCACAGAATAAATACTCAGAAGCGCAGCTTCATAGAAACGAGGGAAACGGTCACACGCACACATAGACGGTACCTTACGCGAGTCTCGACCTTAACATCTAATCTATCCTTGATAACTCGATACCAACAAACGTGTCTCTATGGCTGCATAAAGCCGTCTCACTCGTTACTTTATTCACTTTGTACTAAGTGGGCGTTAGAATTGCGTGAATTATTCATAAGTTCTAACCTTACGAATGGGGTTGATTTAAAGTCGTTGAAAAGAACTTTTTCATTTTCAAATTTCAAGCAATTCCTCTTGAAAATTCTCGTTGAAAGAAAGCAAATATTTACGCAATAAACTATTAGTAATTCATTTTAGGGTTTTGCGAAGCTAAATATTGACTTTCTTACAATTAATGGGAGTAGAAACGTCGGAAAATTAATGACTATTCTTTTAGTAAAATAATAGTTTATGTTGAGTGATTAAAACTTTTCAACGCAATATATTCTAGATAATTTTTATGTTGAGAACAAATCTAATAATATGTATATAAGGTTTCCGTTTAATCATGGCCTCTTCCCATCACATTAACCAACTGTTGATGATATTAATATCCTACATCCTACAAAAGCATCGCTTATGAGTTTTTCTTTTAACTAAGTGTTTATTTGCATGTAAAATGGTTTGCCTACTCGATTCACAATATGTTTAGACATTATTATTTGTTTGGTAACACCAATGTTTGATCGTTTACTTTGGTGTATGTACAAATTGCTTCGTCAGTGTAAACTGAAAGATTGGTTTATATCAACTGGTAACATTTAAATTAATTATGCGAATTGAACATAATTTTCTGGAGAAATAAACATACAGAAATATCCTCTGGGAACACAAATCGGGGCCCATTTTTATTTTTGCTATACAAGTCTTTTTTTTTTGTTATAATGAACAAATGCAATATCTTTGCCAATTGAATTTTTAATATTGTTTTTCAACGTGACGTAAAACAGCATAATTTTTATCTAAACTTCAAAGTGGTCTCGATTTCGTTGTCCCCAAATGTAATGCATCTGTTGACGTAAGCCAGTCTATTTTCTTATAACAAAGATTGCTGTGTATGGTCACATATTATCTTCCAGTTAATATCTGTTGAATATAATTCATATGGTCTTTGAAACATTGCCTGTGTCACTAACGATTTTACTAATAATCTGTAAATGGAAAAGAAATATTTTTTTTCTATTCTATAACGATTCCAAGATTCTCAATTATTCTATGCATCGGGAAACTACCGGTTATTTTTGCTAAGGTATAAATTATTATAATGATTATAATGTCCCCTTTTTATTGTGACTGAAATAAATAGCTTTCAACCCTTTAGTAAAACATAATAAAGTCCTTTTGGATATATAAATATAAAATGAAGAGTTTACCCAGACTTTTCACTCATCAACACAGGCAATAGATAAATTGATTAATACTTCCCTGATGTATGCAATTGTGTACCGTGTTGACGTAACCATAGAACATATTTTATCGTTTCACGTTTAGATACTTAAAATTGTACGTTTACCGCTTACCGCGGCAGGTGGACGTAACAACATAACGGACGGTAAATTGAAAAGTTGTGTATATGTGTTTGTTTTTCATCTTGTTTTGGTGGGGTTTCTTAGTGTTTATCTTTTTCAATTTAATTATTAAAATAGTTTAGGTCTACAATAAATTGTCGTGTTCAATAAGGATCCGTAACAATTTTAGTTGCGAATGCAGATTTATAGAGCTAAGGATTCCATAAAATACAGTGGTTAAATTTTGGTTCTACGACAAATATTGACGAAGTTATGACCAAATTACTAAACGAATTTTCGGCTGGCCCAGTGGTGCCTGTGACGTCACAGAGCTCTAGCGCTCTAACGCGAGCGTGCTTAGAGACGCTACTGATTTTGTGACGACGACCGGAGTGAACCACGATCGAGCTCTGTGACGTTTCGGCCGCGGCGCCGGTGAATATTGGCTACCATAAAATTAGTTATAAAATCGCAACGAATGCACAGATTTCGATGATTTAAAAAGTGTATTAATTAAAAAGCTTATTAGATCATAACACTGTCGATTTTGAGTTAATTTGGTGACCTAGTACTTAGTGATCCTCATTATATGTGAGCACTATCTGGCTTCGATACAGTTAACATTTTGTTAGTTTATTTGGAAAATTTAAGGATAGGGTTTTTCGATAGTAGTTCACTTTTAAACTAGACTGCACATCAAACAACCACAATCCAAAATCTTGTAAAATTGTTCATCATATTTTACGCAATTTAACTAATACGCGAACGACGTCAATTTTACTGAACAGAGGCCCAAGCACTAATTTGACAGCTCCGTAATCGTTTCGTCATCGTTAAATTTTGTATGAAAGGAGCCAGTTTGTTCTTACGTCCGGTAGGGGCGCTGCTTAGCTTCCATAGAAACTTTGACGACGCGATACGATTACGAAGCTGTCAAAATTCGTGCTTGAGCCTCTGCATAGCGATAATAAATCAATAACAATAAAATTACTGAATAATTTTGAACAAAAAAACTGAATAATAAGTTTTTACATTTTTTTTTATTATTTTAAAGTATGTAACTGCTTGATGTTTAAATCTAAAGAAAATATAACTAGAAAAAAATCCACGCGGACCAGGCAGCAGACGGGACGCGAACCTAATAAGTTTTTTTTGATAATGGTTAACTTTTTATAGTCGCCGATTGTCACAATAGAGAATTTTTAACGAATTTATATAAAAAAAGCTGCGTATGGTGAAGCTAACGAAAACCTTCTCAACAAGAGAAACTCCATCAACTCAAGCAATATTTGTATTATACACTTTGATTTCACTTGGCTGCACTGTTTATTTGCTGCTACAAATCAAGAAATACCTTCTTGACCGGTGTGTCACACACTTCTATAGGAACTGTATATTTCTGAACACACGCTAAGTAATAAAATGACCGAATGCGCTTCAAGTTTTATTGATTACGCTTTTTACAAAATATTTTACAACCTGGGATCCTTTAAAAGAGGCGTGAAGAAGCAACATGCAGGCCGGCAGGGTGAGGATGGCTGGTGTGGCAGGTAGAACTGCTGTATCAGCTATCTTCGCATCTGGACTTCACCTTCACTTAACATCAGGTGGGGTGGAGTCATTTGTCAGACCTATCTATAAAAAAAAACATTTTCGCGCTCTTGATCTATGCAAGAAGAAATGATGTACCGTAGTATCGGGACTGTTGTCGCGATGGTGGAAGCGAGATAGCGCTCTACACTTCGTATAGCGGTGTCTCTCTTTTAAAAACGTTTTTAATAGTTTACGGTACAGACCTAGTCACAGTATTATCCATACATTTTTTTTTTTGAGAAAGAATCATGTCTGAATTTTGTATTTGCAGGGTATGGAAAAAAAAGTATAAACTCGTTAAGTTTTTAATATGCTGTTTTATTGTTATAGAATGTTGTTTTTTTTCTAGAGTTATTTTTAAAGCTTTTTGTGTTTTGATTTTTTGTATATTTTTGAAAGTTAAGCACCTTTTTTCGTGTAGTTGATTGGCATGTTTTTTTTTGTGTGTAAAAGCCCGCAATAGTAATTTAGGTGCCGCATAAGTTCTGTCTACTGTCATTTATAATAATAGAAATATTTATTCTTATTTTTTCGGAGGCAAAACTTATTCTAAGCCTGTGTGATGAATACTAAACATGGTATAATATTTTTTTTATTTGCAAGCTGTTGTGAAAATCCGGACGGTGGGAGTAGCGCGACGCACTATACAATGGCGGGTAACGGGTACTATCGCTTGTCGATGGTCGATTTATGATCATAGACTACTTGAAAGATGGTACGGTAATATTAATCTAATATCTGTGTCTGTCTATCCATATATCACTGTACTGGGCTTAAGCAGATTATACGCCAGATTTTTTATTTCATAAATTTTTTATCTTGTAATTATCTTGGTTTTATTTAGTCAAAATTTTTCAGAATTTCAATTGCACTCGACGCTAGGTGTTCGTTTCATAAGTGTATTTATGAATTTTTAGTCACATTCTTTGGAAATTATTTTCGACAATATGTAAATAAGCCTGGAATTTTTTATATATATTGCTGCCATTGTAAACTGTTACCGCGCTACCGCTGTCATTAAATAGATCAATCCTGATAAAATATAACCTTATATTCATCAATTTATAATAACTAAAGTTTACACTAATATTTTGGCTGCTATATTTTGTCAGGATTCTTTGGGTCGTATATAGCTTGCAGTAGTATTAGTAGTGAGTGTGTACAATGTAACATAGTGTACAGTTGAGGCATGTGGCGTTGGCATGCTCCCCGCAACCGTAGATGGCGCGCGTCTCCGCCGGACCCGGTCGCGCGTTCAGAACTACCCACTACTACATCGCTGCCGAATATTCGAGCACACTCACGTAAAACATTTTTTTTTATTTAAATTAGTATTTTCCTTGTTGTACAGTCATTTATATAGAAAATCACGTTTACAAACCTGCCTCGAGTTCTGAACGGGGCGTCCATCCCGTGGGCGACGGCGCCGGTCGCGCGATCGCACGTGCAAACGCTTCGCCCCGCAGCTCCCTTCTCCTTCTGTCCGTAGGCCGTACGATAACGATAGCGAGGGCTCGGACGAGCTCGCGCGATTAAACCCCTGACGTGAGCGCCGCGCACAGGTCGAACCCCGGCACGCCGACGCAGCCGCGGCGGCCGGACTTCATCGGCGTGCCTCGCGGCTCGCCGCAGCGCCGCTTCCTGTCCGAGGGCGAGCTGCTGCGGGCTGAGCCGCCGGCGCACCGCCCCACCGCCGACGACATCCGCGAGCTGGCCGCCTCCCCGCAGCGCGGCAACTACTTGTGGGCCGAGCGCGCGCCCGCTCCCGTCCCCGTCCTCGCCGCGGTCGCGCCGCACCCGCCGCATGTCCCGCGCGGAGGAGTGCCCGTGTTCCCGCCGCAGCCCTCCCCGCTGGCTCGACGACGCGGCGTCCCCGCGCCCCCGAATCCGAACACGAGGCCCGCGCGCCCCCTGTCCTTCGTTCGCGCGCTCGAAGTGCAAGACCAGATAGAAGCGCGCACGGCGCCCCCCGACCCGCCCGATCGAGCGTCGGTCTACGACTGCAACTACGAAATCTCCGTGTGAGACGCGCTCGGCCCCGCCCCGCTGTCCCCGTCCCGGTCGCCCCGCGACCGGCGATGGAATCTCAGTCGCCCCGCGCTCCTTCGAGGTACCCGAGCGTACCGAACGCTCGGTGATCACGGGCGTCTACGGAGTTTCGTAATGTATGTATATTTGTGAACGAGCTGTGAACGTTGATTATATTAAAATGTGAGTTTGTCGAGAGAGTGTACATAGTTTACCGGTGTTGTGATTCCGATGCGACTGCAATGTGTAAGACTTGATTGACGACGAGAATATTTATCGACCATCGAATGTATCTCGACAGTCCCGAGGAATTCTCGAGAAACTCTTCTCGTGCTGTCCGATGGTTCGCCACCCTTCTGTGTTGACGCTCGCGTCGTTCAGTCGTTAGTTTACGGAATTGACTGACAAGCCTCAATTTTTATTTAGTACGTTTTTAGAACGGCAATTTTGATCGTGAGAGAGTATGATCAGATATTTCTTCGTTTGCGTAAGAAACTTCTTCTGATTGATGGAAAGTTTGAATGTGCCAAATATTATATAGCCGCGGTTAGTTTTAGTGCACACTTGAATTTTAATTTTACTCCGACTATAAACGATCTATTACGCTGCATAGAAATGAGGTATGAAATGAGGTACATATGGCCGTTACTTATCGAACAGCAGCAACAAAGATAAAGCATAGGTACTCAGTTTTATTTTGCACGTAGAGTTATTTTTTCTAGATTTCTACATACAATGCTAAGTTTGTGTAGCTTGGAATGAATCACACAAACTTGCATTTTAGCATCCGTCCTTAAAATAGAGCAACTTATAGAGTGAAACTGGAAGTAACATGACAACCAAATGTGTGTATTGGTCACTCTGCAATTTATTTTTTTCAAGAGGACTTTGAGACAGCATTGGATAAATATTTCGGTTGTGATAGAGGGCTTGAATTGGAATCTCTGGGTTGATTGGTAGTTTTGACATTGTTCACAAATTTGACTTGAATTTATAAACCAAAATAATTACTTACGCTTAACTATTGTATTAGTTACCCAAACTTATAATTGTGTACCCATAGAATATAAAATGATATCAAATAATAATCTAATCTTTACCTTTCTGCCAATACGAAAAGAGAGTTCTATCAATGTGTATAATTAGTCATTCTAATTAGACGTAAATAAAATCAACTCTTTCTCTGGAACCAAACTGATGTGAACATGTGATTTTAAAAACAAATAATATATATATATATATATATATATATTGTTTTTATACAATTTTTTTATCATAAAAAATAAGTACGTCTGTCGATGTGTCTAAAGTTATAAAAAAAAATCAATGTTAACTCACTTTTCCGTATATTGATGTTCTATGTTATAGCAATGTTGTTCTAGTAAAGAAACGATAAACGTATGACCTACTTTTCCGTATATTGATGTTCTATATTATAACAATGTTGTTCTAGTAAAGGTACGATAAATGTATGACTTACTTTTCCGTATATTGATGTTCTATATTATAACAATGTTGTTCTAATAAAGGAACGATAAATGTATGACTTACTTTTCCGTATATTGATGTTCTATATTATAGCAATGTTGTTCTAGTAAAGAACCGATAAACGTATGATAAACTTTTCCGTATGTTGATGTTCTATGTTATAGCAATGATGTTCTAGTAAAGAAACGATAAACGTATGACCTACTTTTCCGTATATTGATGTTCTATATTATAACAATGTTGTTCTAGTAAAGGGACGATAAATGTATGACTTACTTTTCCATATATTGATGTTCTATATTATAACAATGTTGTTCTAGTAAAGGGACGATAAATGTATGACTTACTTTTCCGTATATTGATGTTCTATATTATAACAATGTTGTTCTAGTAAAGGGACGATAAATGTATGACTTACTTTTCCGTATATTGGTGTTCTATATTATAACAATGTTGTTCTAGTAAAGGGAAGATAAATGTATGACTTACTTTTCCGTATATTGATGTTCTATGTTATAGCAATGTTGTTCTAGTAAAGAAACGATAAACGTATGACCTACTTTTCCGTATATTGATGTTCTATATTATAACAATGTTGTTCTAGTAAAGGTACGATAAATGTATGACTTACTTTTCCGTATATTGATGTTCTATATTATAACAATGTTGTTCTAGTAAAGGGACGATAAATGTATGAATTATTTTTCCTAATATTGATGTTCTATGTTATAACAATGTTGTTCTAGTAAAGAAACGATAAACGTATGACAAACTTTTTCGTATATTGATGTTCCATAATATTACAGCAATGTTGTTCTAGTAAAGAAACGATGAATAGTAACCCAAACTATAATTGTGTACCCATAAAATGTAAAATAATATCAAATAATAAATTATTCTTTACATTTTTCCCAATACGAAATAGACTTATATCAATGTGTAAAATTACCCATTCTAATTAAGACATAAATAACGGTCAACTCTTGTCTCTGGAACCAAACTGATGATTGTGGTTTTAAACTGTATAATATAGGTTTTTTACTATTGTATTATCATAAAATATCCGTACGTATATTCGTTCGATGTCTAAAATTATAAGAAAAAACAATGTAAACTTACTTTTTCGTATTTTGATGTTCCATATTCTAGCCATGTTGTTCTTACAAAGACACAATATACATAAATCTAGCATGTCAAATAAAAGTTCGCTCACTAATCCGATTAGTCATTATACAATCGGGCATTCGGAAAACAAATGGATATTAAATTAGTCCCATTTTAATAGTTAAAATGGCCTACTTTCTAACTAATTCCGTTAAATGCAGTACGTCTCTTTTCCTTGTTACAATAAAACACGAGTTGTGTAATAGGGTATTTGACAAGTTTTAGAAAACGATCTCACGTTATCGACTAATGTTTATGGAGTCCGTAAAAAGTGGATATTCATCATCCTGTTGTGTATTTCAGTAAAAATAACCAAATCAAAATCTCCATTTTCAAGTTGCCGCGAAAACGTTTCTCTGGCCAATATAGCGTCTTACTAGTGTGTGACGTCACACGACTGTTATTAAAACGTCACACGATACAATGTAATGTCACTTTAACCGGAAGTTTACTTGCGTGTGACGTCATTTTGGGCTCCGCCAATCCCAAGCGTTTTGGGTCACGTGACAATAGATAAGAAAACTATTATATTTTTCGTGGGATTTTAGTCAAATTATGATTTTTTTGTTTGTAAAAATAGTAAAAGCCCCTGCCATTACTATAAATTCATTCTAAACACAGATGCTAACAATTGGCACTTTATTTTTAATACTGTCAAATACCCTATTGTGTTATAAAAAGTTGCGTTCCATTTTCTATTTTAAATATATGTTTAAAAATGTGGTGGATAACTACTACCACTTCGTTGGATTAGCTGTTACGTGTTTCTTGAAAAACTATTTTTGAAGTGAAAATTCTTTATGTACGCTTGACTTGGGGGGTATGGTGGCGCGTGAGTTACGCGTTACGAAAAGTGTGTTCGGGCGAGGCAAACGGGGGTTGAGTGGGGGATATAAGCAAGAGAAAGCAGCGCGCGCGCATATTTTCTTTCTCTCTTTCTCTTATAGCTAGTAAATAAAATATGTTTATGTATATATTGTACACACACATATATATGTATATATATACCTATACATACAGATGGAGCTAAAGAAGTTCCACTTCAGTCGTATGGTCATAAGCACACTCGTTTTTTTCTGAGACAAAGTATGTAATTTTTTTTACCTAATATTTATGACGTTTGATAGAAAAACCTAAAATTGAAGAAACTCAGCCTTCGTTTTATCAAAATTCAAAAACTTCCGTATTAACTGGACACACCTTCGATCTTATAAAATAAATATATTGCTATATTCCGTAACTACTTACGAACGGCTAACGGCATTTTCTAATTAATTGTTGCGAAAAGAATAAGCTAAAGAAGTTTCACTTCAGTCGTGTGGTCATAAGCATACTCGTTTTTTTTTTCTAGATAAAATTAAGAAATGAGGCGTACTACATTTGATATTGTTTTAGTATAGGATTCTGTGATACAGAATAAGTCCAATGGTTTATTATATGTAAAGACTATTTTACTCCGAAGCAACATTGCATTGCGATTTTGAATATTTTCACTGTTCTCTCAATGGACAATAATTATTTAATACTAGTGGCCCGCCCTCGCTTCACTTCGGTGTAATGTGTAGTGTAGACTAAAATGACTTGATATAATTATAAAAAAAAAAACTGAAAATGGTATATTTGCCTTTTCCAAACTTTTATTGACATCACGTCACTCAATTGTTTTGCCTTCCCTGAACCTTTCCATTAACATTTGAAATTTATGGTGTGGTATTAAAGTTCAAATTGACTTTTAAGTATTATTACGAATCGTTTGTATGGGAGTATAGAAAAATGTTGTTTTTGGACTTTTTAAGGCATTTTTTATAATTTTTCTCTGCGTAAGATCCATCCTCATACTTCAAGGAATATCCTAAAAAAAGAATTATCGAAATCGGTTCAGCTGTTCTCGAGATTTGCGCTTAGCAACACATACAGCGATTCATTTTTATATTATTGATTATTGACAAGTCAACTGCAGCTTATTTCTAGTCCAGAAAATATTGCGTTTACAATTTTGATTCTAGCATTAAAATGGCACATCGAAATTCTGTTTTGTGCAGAAAAGATTTTTTCTCAATTTTTCTTATTGTAAATGCTATTTTTTTGTATTATTTGTTGCTTCAGAGTGAAATAGCCCCAAGAGATCTCACCTCACCGTAATGTTATCCCAAACGGTACTTAGGATTATATATTATGTATGTATTTACAGGCCACAATTTTGTTGCACACTTTGTCAATTAAATTTAAGTACAGTACTGCTTTTTTATGGACAGAAGAACTCTTACTCTTTTTAGAAGCTTATTTCCAGTTACATGGTTAGTTAAGGTTCAAAATTCTATATCAGTTTTTTGATGTTTTTTTAACATGTCTTTTAACTCTTTTTCAATTTCAAAGATGAGAATAGAACTAACTGTACTTATAAGTAATTATAGAGAGTGAAATATGATTGAGACCATTGTTTACGATATGTAAGTTATAATTTAATGTTATATTGACACGATGTGAATTGAAGGCGTGTGAAAACACATAGATAGCATCTGTTGTGAGATTATCAATGTAAATATTACAAAGAATATTAATTGTGTATGTTTGTATGTATGTTATAGACGTAATGTTTTAACGCAATTCCCAATAGATAAAACATATCGAGTAGTTGTGGTTTTTGATGAGATTCATTCTTAACAAGTATTTTAATGGACATTAAAATTTTAGAATAGTTTTGTGAAATTGCAGTCTTGATGCTACAATAGCGAATGGTTAAGTAATAATTTTGATACGCAATATTTTTTTTATAAACTAAATCGTAACCTACCCACTTCTATGTATTCGTGTTTAAAGCAGCATATTTTATCTTATCCTCTGTACGTATATATATATACTATACAACAGCTTGATATGTTTTATTGTAATTTATAGACACAATAATTTCCTTCTATTCATTAAGTTTAAGAATGTAAATATCCTGGAATGTAAACAGATATAAGGACAATTTGTATAGTTTCTGTAATAGTGTTTTGTTGTGAATGTTGTAATATTTATGTATAAAAAAATATTTTTATTTGAAATGGTTGTTTTCGCTGCCAGTTTCTGTACCCAGTACCCAGATGTGTTTCAGTAGGGCATGAGCACCGCGATATGATACATTTGAGCATGATATAGCTCGTTTATATCATGCTCAATTGTCAAATGACGATGGAGTTTAACAGTTCGTCGCGGTAAAAATGTGTGTTAAACTACCCGTTTGTGGGAGCAATCATTGAAGAAACAATCTACCGACCGACGATGACCGTTACGACGCGAGATATCACAATTCGCACCGCGCCGAGCCGATTTGTACGAGCGAGCATGCGTCGACAGGCGAGTCCGCGCTACCCGTTCTCACGGCGCGTTGGGCTCGCCGCGGCCAAGAAAAAGACGCTGGTGGATGACATCCCACGCCACCCCGCGCGCGCTCGAGTCACCACGAGCACAGCGGTGACACTGTACGTGAGAGTTCTAGCATCAGTGACCTTGATCAGGAGCGTGTATGCGCTAGGGTTGAACCGAAATGGAATTTAGACTTGTGCCAATCTATATTTATGCATAGTAAGTTATTAAATGTAAACCGATTCAAGGATACTGGGGTAAGTAATGAAAGATAGATTTGATTTATAATCAATTTTTAATCTTTTAATGTAGGACTGTTACAAATTGCTAACTCTTATATATTATCTGCTTTTTTGATTC